TAGCTCTGTTGCCCCAATTACGAGTAACGTTATCACATCAGGTGTGCAGAGGTGGGAGAAGTACTCAGATCTTGTAGCTAAGTAAAAAAATACCATAGTGTAGGAAGAGTTCCTCAAGTCAAAGTATGATCATCAAAATATATTTAAAGTAGCAACAGTAAAAGTAGTCATTGTGCAGATTGTTCCATTTCAGAATAATATATATGATATGTTTTATAATGATTGATCATTAAAGTGTTCTCAAAGCTGGTAAAGGTGCAGCTAGTTTGAATGATATATTATATATCTGTATACTGCAGGGTAGCTTGTGAATTTACTAAAGTCTGAGTTAGCACTTGATTATATTTCACATCATTCATCCACATCTGTAAAGTAACTAAAGGTATTAAATACATGTAGTGGAGTAGAAGTACACCATTTAACTATGAACTGTAGTGGAGTAGAAGTACACAGTAGCAAAACATTTAAATACTCCAGTAAAGTACAAGTACCTCAACATTTTACTCAAGTACAGTACAATATTTTAACATAATTATATATATTTAATTTATTTCACATTTTAAATAAAGCAATTAATTAATAAATTAATAAATAGAAAACCTTAATGATACCCATCCTATTACACAAGTAAAGTGTTAAGAGAGTGAAATGTTGCTTTACGAATTTCAACACTTGATGCTGTCACCTTGATTACAATTTCAGATACCTGTATTTGCCTAACTGAATTGGTTTAAAGAGAGAAAACATTTTGACTAAAAGTTGACTAAAATGTAATTTTTCATCGACTAAAAGTAGACTAAAACGTTTTGAGTTTTCGTCGACTAAAACTAGACTAAAACTATGAAGGATAGAAATGACTAAAATGTGACTAAAACTAATTACCATTTTCGTCTAAAGACTAAGACTAAGACTAAATCAAAAACAGCTGCCAAAATTAACACTGCACGGAATATCAGCTTTAAAATTAGGAATAACAGGATTTTAGCAGTCAGAACAACTAAAGCAGTTAATAATAACAGAAACGCCAAAGAGTCACATCTAATAGAAATGTATAAAAGCATTTATTTTAATTGTGTAGCAGTCAGTTTATAATTTTGGCAGGACTGTTGAGCATTTTGAAAATGTATTTTCATGCCTCTGTGCAAGGCTGTCTTTCTATCTTTATAGCCAGTGGTGTAAAGTAACTAAGTTCATAAACTCAAGTACTATACTTGGGTACAATTTTGAGATACTTGTACTTTATTTAAGTATTTCAATGTTTTGCTACTTTGTTCTTCTTCTCCTCTACAGTTCAGAGGTAAATGGTGTACTTTGAAAACGAAGGCTAAAGCTAACGTTAGCAGATAGTGACAATGTATGCTAGTTAGCTAGCTCAACGATTCCTTAAATAATATTGCGACAGAAAAACTTTTCAGTGCACATCACCACGCTCTGCCGCTCCGACAGGCCCGTTCTAACAGCTGTTCACCAGCGGTCCAGTCTGTGCCACAGTGACTCCGGACCGCACAGTTATTATTAACGAACGCACCCGTAGGTAATGTAGCTGCTGAAGCTAGACCCTCATCGCAGAGCCTTATTATACATCCATGAGCAGAGCCGACAGGCAGGAAGACTTGAGCACACAGCTCGCGCTTCATTATAATATATAAAAAAAGAACACCATGCGTGTCATGATGGCACATAACAGCTCGCGGCCGCAGATTACTCCGTGTCCCAGACCCCCCCCATACCCCAAAAATATTTTTATTGCAGATCTACATGAATCACACAAACGACCTATTTTGGATTCAAAACGGCGAATTTCGCCGAAAGGTGACAAGTTTGCATCATGTGCTGAAAAGGCTGAATATTTTGATATTTGAATGATTTCTGTAGCTAAGTATGCTGAAGTTATTGAGAGCCAAACTATTTGGTGAAATAAGAAAAAGAAGACGGAAGAATAAAGAAACAGAAGAACTATAGTGGAATGCTGTAAACAGCATTCGCACTAAATAGGCCTTTAACCTGTTAAGCCCTGAGCCTGTTTTTCAGGTCTCAGGCTCAAAAATGACATTCCCAGAACAAATTACTATAACTTCACTTCTAAAAGGGGTAAATTAATAACCTTTTTTGGATGTTGGATGTAGAAAAGTCAGAATCAATAGATTTTTTTTATTTTCAAGTAAATTCAGATTGAACATAGTAAAACATTTTTAAATTATAGTGTCCGTCCAAAATACAAATATGACTTACTGTATAGTGAAAACCACCCTTGAATGATGGGATAGTATACTAAAAGCTTTAGGAATCCAAACTATAACATATAAGTACCCTGTATCAAGATTGATGCAAAACAAGTGACATTTGACCTTTTTAGAGAGGTTTAGAAAAAAAAAAACCCACTTCTGGGGTCATTTGGGTGCATTTTCCATATCTCTGGCCCCGCTCGTTCGATTTTGATGATTGACATCTCTTTTTAACCGTTAGAGCCAATAGAATCGAGGGGAAGTTCCTAAAATCCATCTAAACATTACCCATTGGTGAATGAGTGATGCGCAGCCAGAATGCCCCGGAACCGGAAGCTGCGATACACTCTGGTGGCTTTCATTAGCAGCTAATATGATATCTCCGTTTTTGCCATAAAAATGGAATGATGGATTATCAATAATTTTTTCAAAGTGACAGACACATTGGATTAACCATTGGATTAACCTTCAGCAGCGTTTTTATCGTTTTAATGCCATTGAACATGACTTTTGATCAGAATAACAGCTAAGGTGAGACGATCTCCCGTGAATGCTCCGTTAAGCTACGTGTTGTGATGTCTGTGTTTGCTTCCCCTGTTGCGAGTTCTGATCGCTCAGTGATGATACTAATACCTATAGAATCTGTGGAATCTCAGATTTAATCTGATATCTTGTATGTGCAGTTACGATAAGTAATAAGGGTATCTTTACCTTGAGTTCTGTGCTAAGTGTGTTAGCATTTCTTTGCTCAGGGCTCATTTAGACGCTTCTTGTGAGACTTGTGTTTTGTTTCGGTAAAAATGGATCGTATCGTCAGTAAACTGAGTTTCTTCCCGTTAAATGCGTATGACACATTAATAGGTTTTTAAATATTAAGAAGCCCTGAGACACAGTTTTGTGAAAAAACTACCCGCAGGATTAGGGTCCTCTCGGGCTTAACAGGTTAACTCTGCCCCAGTCTCCAGCTGAACTAAATTAAACGTTTTCAGATGTACTTTAACACTGAACGCTGTTTTTATCTGTGAATCAACAAGATCACACTGCAGACCAGTCGGACTTGTTCACCCACATGTTTTTATAGGGATTTACAGGAGCCACATGCAAAGTCGTTTAGGAACAATAACAAGAATAAATAGGCCTTTGACTTTATTAACAGAACGAAAAATGAAGTGATTTGGCTGTAATAATAAACACAATGATGATTGAGGATAAATGTACATCAATTTATAGCGTGGTAGGAAGTACTCAATCATTAATTGAAGTAATAGTATTAATACCACAATATCGACATTTACAAGAAAAAGTACAAAATAAATAAATAAGTGATCTCCTTTTTAAAAGTAAAATATATTATTGGATTTATAATTATTGATGCAATTTTATTAAATCACAATGTAGTTGATATAATTCATTTTGTAATATCTGCAGTAACAAACTACCTGTGAAAAAATATTTTTTTGGAGTTAAAAGTGCATTAGGTCCTGCTGAATTGTTTTGTGGAAAAGTATAAATAAACTAGAGAATGCAATTCCTGAAGAAATTGCTAGTGGGAATGCTTTATGCTGAAAAGCTGACGCTAAACTGCTATGCTGAAATGTAATGTGTAAGAAGAAAGTGAAGAATTTAGATTGAAATGATGCATGAACACTGGGGGCTTGAATGTGTGATGAGAGAAGAAAAGAAAGTAAAAAGGCTTGGAAAAGCAGCAGAATATTTGAAATGCAAACTTTTGAACTAACTTGATGGCGAATGATTTGTCGCCATGCCAACGGCATTTGATGACATCCCATAATACGCTTAGATGCGTTGATGGCTGCATCGTTACCAAACCTGTGAAGTTTTGGGCCTTTTGTTCATTTCATACATTCATAACTTCAGTGAAAATGCTTCAGTTAGAACTGACTGCTGTCAGTTGGAGTGATGACATCATCGTGTTCCATTACACAGGTGTTTATAGTTGAGCTCTGTCAAGATCAAAGGTTTGCATTGTTCTGAATGAGAGATAAACCTCTTACATGTGAACGTTTTGTGGAAGAACGATAACAGATATCTGTGAAATTTCAAAACGTGAAGCATGTCAAGAAAGTTGAGTATCTGAAGTGAAATATGTGTACTTTCGGGTTAATAATGTGGCCTTTTTGGCAGTTTAACTAAAGGTGTGCGGCTTCTGCTGTAAGGAAATATCTGCCTGAAATTACAATGGGCTTTAATGGAGACATGTTGAACGTTTTTGTCACTTCATGCCCTCAAGAGGCATTTTGTTTAATTATTTTTGATGTTTTGATATTTGAACGGAGTTTCTGCGATGTTGAATGTGGGAGGAGAAGAGGGCCAAAATAATTGGATGGAATAATAAGAATTTTGTCCGTAGCATAACATATAGTAGGAATGCTTTATCAGCATTCCCACTAAATGATATGAATGGAAAAGTAGAAATATTTCAGTACACAAGTACAGTACCTGAATACATGCACCTTTCTACTCTCCCTGTCATGGTCCTGTGTGTTTTTAACTATATATTCTACTTGGCTCAAATTAATGTTTGTAAGTTAATGTTTGTTATTTATTAATAATTAGATTTAGTCCTAAAAATATATCAATATTTGATTAATTTATTATAGTGTTGTGAAAAATATCTCTGTTATCTGACTTTTTTGGCACACATCTGGGCTCTATCTCACTCAGTTTCTTAGTTACTATTTGTATGGAATTCAGGAAAACTCAGTTTGATTCCAAATAAACAAATTATTAAAAATATATGTTTTTTGTCCTCAGAGTGTAAACATGTCTGCTGCCAGCTGTCTGCTGACTGAAGATCAGTTTCTGTGCTCCATCTGTCTGGATGTGTTCACTGATCCAGTCACAATACCATGTGGACACAACTTCTGTAAAGCCTGCATCTCTCTACACTGGGATACTAAAGTCCCCTATCAGTGTCCCAACTGTAAAAAGTTATTCCACACAAGACCTGATCAGCTGGTCAACACTTTCATCTCTGAGATGGCTGCTCAGTTCAGACAGTCAGCTCAACAGGAAGCCAGCAGCAGCAGCTCAGAGCAACAAGTTGTCAAACCAAGAGAAATTCCCTGTGACGTCTGCACTGAAACCAGACTGAAGGCCCTGAAGTCCTGCCTGGTGTGTCTGGAGTCCTACTGTGAGACTCACCTGAAGCCTCATCTGACAAGGCCAGGCCTGAAGAAACATCAGCTGATCGACCCTGTGGAGAACCTGGAAGGCAGGATGTGTGTGAAGCACGATAAACTGCTGGAGCTGTTCTGTAAGACTGACCAGGTGTGTGTCTGCATCCACTGCAACTATTCAGACCACAAGACACATGATGTAGTTCCTTTGAAAGAAGGATATAAAGGAAAGAAGGCAGAGCTGGGGAAGACAGACGCTGAAATTCAGCAGATGATCCAGAAGAGACGACTGAAGATTCAGGAGATGAATGGCTCAGTGGAGCTCAGTAAGGAAGGAGCAGACAGAGAGATAGCAGATGGTGTTCAGGTCTTCACCGCTCTGAAGGAGTCTGTTGAGAGAAGCCAGGTCGAGCTCATCGACACCATCAAAGAGAAGCAGAGAGAGACAGAGGAACAGGCTGAAGGCTTCATCAAAGAGCTGGAACAGGAAATCTCTGAGCTGAGGAAGAGAAGCTCTGAGGTGGAGCAGCTCTCACGCTCTGAAGACCAGCTCCACCTCCTCCAAAGCTTCACGTCCCTGAACGCTGCTCCACCCACCAAGAACTGGACAGAAGTCAGGGTCCACCCACCTTCATATGAGGGGACTGTGGTGAGAGCTGTGACTCAGCTGGAGGAGACGCTCAGTAAACAGATGAAGAAGCTGCTTGAGGTCGAGCTGAAGACGGTCCAGCAGTATGATGTGGAGCTGAAGAGGGTCCAGCAGTATGAGGTGGAGGTGACTCTTGATCCTGATACAGCACATCCCAACCTCATCCTGTCTGATGATAGAAAACAAGTTAAACATGGTGATGTGAAGAAGAATCTCCCAAACAATCCAGAGAGATTTAATTCTTCTACCTGTGTTTTAGCAAAGCAGAGTTTCTTTTCAGGAAGATTTTATTACGAGGTTCAGGTTAAAGGAAAGACTGCCTGGGATTTAGGAGTGGTCAGAGAGTCGTTCAACAGGAAGGGATACATCACAATGTCTCCTCAGAAAGGTTACCGGATGATAGTGTTGAGGAATGAAAATGGGCACCAAGCCACTACTGGTTCTGGAGTCCGTCTCTCTCTGAAGTCTCAGCCTGAGAAGGTGGGGGTGTTTGTGGATTATGAGGAGGGTCTGGTCTCCTTTTATGATGTTGATGCTGCAGCTCTGATCTACTCCTTCACTGGCTGCTGCTTCAAAGAGAAACTCTACCCATACTTTTGTCCCTGTCTGAACTATGGTGGCAAAAACTCTGCCCCTCTGATCATCTCTCCTGTCAATCACACTGAGTAGAACAACCATTTGATTTTCTACATAAAGAGACACTAAATTTAATAAATGTATTCAACGGGGGAAGTACATTGTGAACATTGTTATTTTTTCAGAATCTGATCAGAGATGTTTTACCTTGATGATACAAATAAACACCTAAAATACTGATGAGTATGTTCTAATGTAATCTACTTCATTCTACGGATTGCACTACCTGCTGTTATGACTAAAATAATTGACTATGACATAAATATTTGCCACTTCTTTCCATTTCTGGGTGAAAAAAATGCATTTATTTTCTCAAGTTGTGTGTTCATAAAGTGTTTCATACTAGCTTAAATAACTAGTGGAAGTGATGCACTCCTTTTTCATTTGTAAAATACTGTATATACAATTTTCTTTTTAATCATTTTAAATTGAGGGAAAAATGATGGGTGTTTCTGACATGTTTTTAAAGGGTAGATTCAGGATTCATGCTTTAATTACAGTATATTGGTACAAAATGTATTGACAGTTACTTGTGTTGAGTCTATTTGTATATAACATTACAAGGTTGATTCTTATTATTACATTATATGCTTATTGAGCTCATGAGATGTTGCTATGACTATGGAATAAATAGACACAATCATCAATCCCAGGTTCTGATGGGTTGGATATTAAACGAAGGGAAAAGTCTTAGAAGAAAGTTTAGCTGCATTTAGAAATGTTGCAAAGACCAGGTGCAGACACTGTGGAGACAAAGAGTTATTGAAAACAGGAGATCGCCCTGGCCTTGAACAGTGTGAGCTCCTCGCCTACGCATAACTGGGAACTAGTATAATGGAAGATTCCCAATATCTATTGCAGAAGCTTTAGCAAAACAAATTACGGAGGATAGCGTGACTAGAGTAGGGAGGGAACCTTTACCGGCCGGCCGAATGGAGTTCGTGTTGCCAAGAGACTTTGTCCAAGTCTGTGCACCAACAAGGGAGGCCAAAGTCTAAACCACGGTCCTCCCCTTCTAGTCTCAACCAATCATAAATGTACGGGCAGCGCCCTGAATAATAAAATGTATGCACGCACGAGGTTCAAGGCTTTTTGATGGATATAGTGGTTACAGATTACAGCTTTGCTGCCTGTGATTTCTTTGACCTGACGGAGTCCTTGGCCAAGTGAAATATATATCTGTTGCTCTCTTTTAATAAATAGTTGAACTTAGAAGTTGTTTGTCTTTCATGGAATAAAAGAACACGACACTTGGAGAATCAACAATATCTGATCATAAAACATGGTTTTATTTTATTTTTAGTTGTTTAACCTGCACCAAGCCTGTTTTTCATGTTTCAGGCTCGAAAATGACATGCCCAAAACAAATGACTACAACTTAACTTCTAAAAGGGTTATATGAATAATTTCTTTTATCAAAGCAAGGTTACATCTGTGAGTTGGATGTAGAAGTGTCAGAATCAATATAAATGTATTTTATTTTAAAGAAAACTCAGATTTTACATAGTAAAAAACTGTAAATTATAGTGTCCGTCCAAAAATTATTTTTTACAGATAGTGAAAACTACCCTTGGATGATGGGTTAGTAGACTAAAAGCTTTAGGAATCCAAAGTACAACATATAATAAGTACCCTGTATCAAGATTGATGCAAAACAAGTGACATTTGACCTTTTTAGAGAGGTTTAGCCAAAACCACCCCACCTCTGAGGTGATTTGGGTGAAAATGTTTTTTTTCCCATATCTCTGGCCCCCCTTGCTCGATTTTGATGGTTGACACCTCTTTCTGACCGTTAGAGCCAATATAATCGAAGGGGGAGGCCCCCACACACACACGTTGTGAAGAGAAAAGGTGGGGGCTGCGCGCATGTAAATGTAAGGCAGAGTGGAGCTACATTCTAGCTCTGGCATTTGGAAACGAAAAAGCAGTTTTATTGCTTATGGATTATCAGAAATAATTTCAAAGAGGACACAGATACATTCGATGAACCTATGGATTAACTGCAGCATCGTTTTTTTTATCGTTTTAATGCCATTGAAGACCAGTTTTGACCAAGGTAAGCCATGTTAGCGTTTCTAGCTACCTAGCTCCACATGTTATGATGTACGCTTTCGTTTATAGCGTCGCAAATGTTTATCACTGAGTGTTGAGGTTTTTTACACAGATTCAGTGTCTCCAGGACACCAAAAACGAGTGGTTTGCTGTGCATCTAGGATAAGTAATAAGGGAGTTATTGTGAGTTTAAGTGCCGTTTTAGGTTACATTTTTTCGCTCGTGGCTAATTCAGAGGCTGAGTGTTAGCATTGTGGTTTTTTTTTGGAATTTTTTTTTTTTAAAAGATCAGTTAGCTGAGTTTCTTCCCGTTACATGGATATAAAACATTCATAGTTTATTAAATATTAAGATTCCTTAGACGTTGTTTCCTGCAAATGACGCGTTTATCCGCCCGGTACCGGGGGGGCCGTGCGTAACAGGTTAAGAAACAAGGGAAATGAAAATGTTACATCTCAGCTGTCTGTTGTGTGATGTTAATTATATTTGTCCATCTCTCTGCACACTGCTTGTATAGTTTGAATAAAGTCGACAAAGAGCCAATGGATTTAAAAAAAAAGAAAGAAGTAAAAAAAGTTATTTGTCTTTTTTACAAATGTTTTAACTGAAGAAGTTTTCACTAGTTCTCAACTTAAAGGTGGGTTAGGTAATTTGAGAAACCGGCTTGAGATCGCTAGAATTTGAAAATACACAGCCGGAAAAAATCTGCCACTTCCTTATAGAGCCCCTCCTCCAACACACACGAACATGACCAATGAGGGCACGAGATAAGTTTGTGCCCAGATGGAAGGCTGACAGGCAGGTAGGCCATCCAGTCATTTTAGCCGGGCCGGCTAAAATGATTGGTCGTGCTTTTTACAGTACCACGGCTTCCACGGATGAAATGTTTTTATGGATTTTTTGTCAAAGCACTTCAGATATTCATTGCTATCGGGATGTTAAGAGCATTCCATGGAATATAACAAAAAGTGTATTTCGAGCCGGTTTCTCAAACTTACCTACCCCACCTTTAAGTGAAGTAGCTTAAAAAAATGTACTTGACTATTTCCATTTGTATATTTCTACCTCACTACATTTGTCCGACAGCTTTGGTTCTTCTCAGGCTTTATAAACAGTTTAAAACCTCTTGGATCAGCTGATCATAGATATTAAGATTGCTGTATATGTTTCTTAGAAATAAGGCCATCAACTGGTTAGCTTAGCTTAGCATAAAGACTGGAAGAAGGGGAAGACAAAGCCAGCCTGTCCAAAAGTAACAAAATCCACCTATCAGCAGCTCTAAATCCAGTTTGTTTAATCCATACCAAAACAGAGGAGTAAAAACATCAATCAGACGTTTAACAGGAGATTATGGGTCGGGCTATTTCTTGGCTGGGACCAAAACAAGTTGCCAAATAGTTTTTACATTTCAGTTTTCGTACAGAGATATATTAAGTACACTTAATGCTGCAGCACAGGCAGTATGCGAGGAGACATGTCACAGAGGCACAACATATGAACCTGAACGTTTGCAGAATATGTCCTCTTTAAATGTCAGTCCTTTAGTCTGTAATTTAACAGTCCCTTAACTTTCAAGCAAAAAAACCTAAACAATTCACAACAGGGTCTCTTTAACTGACGGTTGATGACTTACGTAATGACATTTAAGTAATTTACAGTTAACTGATGGTTGAGTAGAAGTACTCAGATCTTGTACTTGAGTAAAAGTAGAAGTACTCAGAACTTGTACTTGAGTAAAAGTAGAAGTACTCAGATCTTGTACTTGAGTAAAAGTAGAAGTACTCAGAACTTGTACTTGAGTAAAAGTAGAAGTACTCAGATCTTGTACTTGAGTAAAAGTAGAAGTACTCAGATCTTGTACTTGAGTAAAAGTAGAAGTACTCAGAACTTGTACTTGAGTAAAAGTAGAAGTACTCAGATCTTGTACTTGAGTAAAAGTAGAAGTACTCAGAACTTGTACTTGAGTAAAAGTAGAAGTACTCAGATCTTGTACTTGAGTAAAAGTACTCAGATCTTGTACTTGAGTAAAAGTAGAAGTACTCAGATCTTGTACTTGAGTAAAAGTAGAAGTACTCAGATCTTGTACTTGAGTAAAAGTAGAAGTACTCAGATCTTGTACTTGAGTAAAAGTAGAAGTACTCAGATCTTGTACTTGAGTAAAAGTAGAAGTACTCAGATCTTGTACTTGAGTAAAAGTAGAAGTACTCAGATCTTGTACTTGAGTAAAGTAGAAGTACTCAGATCTTGTACTTGAGTAAAAGTAGAAGTACTCAGATCTTGTACTTGAGTAAAAGTAGAAGTACTCAGATCTTGTACTTGAGTAAAAGTAGTAGTACTCAGATCTTGTACTTGAGTAAAAGTAGAAGTACCAGAGTGTAGGAATACTCTGTTACAGTAAAAGTCCTGCATTCAAAATGTTCCTCAAGTAAAAGTAGAAAAGTATTATCATCAAAATCTAGTTAAAGTAGCGACAGTAAAAGTAGTCGTTGTGCAGATTGGTCCATTTCAGAATAATATATATGATATGTTTTATAATGATTGATCATGAAAGTGTTCTCAAAGCTGGTAAAGGTGCAGCTAGTTTGAATGACTTTGTATACTGCAGGGTAGCTTGTGGATTTACTCCAGGTGGAACTAAAGTCTGATTTAACACTTGATTATATTTCACATCATTGATCCAGATCTGTGAAGTAACTAAAGGTATTCAATACATGTAGTGGAGTAAAAGTACACCATTTACTTCTGAATTGTAGAGGAGTAGAAGTACACAGTAGCAGAAAATTGAAATACTTCAATAAAGTCCAAGCAGCTCAAGCATATATATCCTGAACAGAAATGTGAACATCTCAGATCATTGTTTAGATTTATCTAAATATTTTCCTAGAAATGTATTTACCTTTAATTCTTTGAGTTTTTCTCAATTAAATACCATGTCCTGGCTCGGTGATTTGTATTTTATTTTTGAAATTTCACCAACACTGACCCAAATACGTCTTATGAAACGCACCGTCGCCTTGATTAATATGACAGTTTTGGGACAATAAAGAAACATAAGTCCACAAAATGTCAAACAATAGTCTTATTTCAGCTTGGGAGCTACTTTTAAAATGACCAAGCCCAAATGATCTACCTACAGGGCCGCCCATGCAAATGCCACTTGAAAGGATGGATGATAGGCTAACTTTAAAAAGGCGATCGACCGTAGATAGATGTTCGATATTACACTTGAACAAAAGTCTTTTTCGTATCAGCACAAATATCACTCAACTGGATTAACTGAACAACAAACTTTATTTTTTATAACATCAAATAAAAGATAACAGAAAGCAAAGGAAAAACGGGTCCTTTTAAAAACACGCCATATTTTAAGCCCCGCCTCCGATGCGCAGTCTCGCCAATATCAGTCAAATGAAGAGAGAGGAAAAATAACTCTGATTCGGCTTTTAGTCCATTTTCACGTCACCACCGCTAAGCTAAAGGCCGCTAATGTTGGGCTTTAAAGGAACTACGACGTATTTTATGTCGTAGAACAAAACGTTAACATCTCTTCAGCTTGTGTTAACCACAGACCTTGTTTCAGGCTAACAACCAAAAACACATTCAGGAAACCATTGACTCTCAGACCAGAGGACAGGAAATGATAAAATGCTGAATAATTTCATGCCGGTGTTAGTGCTTACGCTGAGTCGGGGGGGGGGCGATACCGCTTTCTACGTAGAAAAACAATGTGACCGTGCTGTAGTTCCTTTATAGCCCAACATTAGCTTCCTTGAGCTTAGCGGTGGTGGCATGAAGTCATGTGACCACCATTTGACACCGAGATTCGTTTGCAACAATCCAAAATCACATGGAAAGAATCCTCTTTAGTCGCTCTCACTGCCGCTCTCTGACACCACGTAGCAGTTGTTGTCCCCCCCCATGTTTTCCTGGAAACGCACACCTGAAACACACACACACACACACACACACACACACACACACACATCAGATACTATCTAAAAAATAGTTTACATAGAAATGGAGCTGGTTTTTTATCGTGGTTCTTCTCACCGTTTGGGGTTCTGTCTTCATTCTCAAAAACAATGTGCTCCACGTCGTAACTCACAAAGATATTCTGTGGAAACAAAGATTTTTTTGTAAAATACACGCTGCCATTTTTTACATTTAATTATGGGAAAGAAAGGATTTAAAAAGGAACTACTTAAAAGGTCTCCTATTATGCTATTTTTAGGCTCAGAATTCTACGAGATACTAAACTAAATGCTGCTGTGATGAAACGCCATATCATGGATTATCAAGGATTCTTTCTGAAACAGTATGGAGCTCAAAGGCTTTCTCTCTTGCCGGTTATACCACAAGGTGAGTTCCTTTCTTTATTTCCTGCTTCTTCACACACATGCTCTCCAGTACAGGTTAGCTCTGAGTGTTAGCGATGCTAATGTAAACAAAGAACATATTACGTCCAAAACCCATCGCTCATTGTTTCCGATAGCAACGTTTCTGATAGGGCCGTGGGTCCACAGTTCAGATATTACGTCATATCGGACGCAAATCTGGATCAGCTCCGTTGTTCCCCCGTTTTTAGAGATTTGGGTACGGAGGAAAAGAGAGAGGGTTTTATTTTCTGACGCTGCGTGAGTTCCCCGAGACACCGGGGACACATGTTGATGTATAAAAGACATCAACAAGTGCATTTTGCATGATAGGTCCCCTTTAATAACTTGAGCGAATATTCAGATTATTTGTTTACCACTGTGACTACCCGATCCGCATCCCTGCCCGATTTGCATTGTGCATGTGCGAGATGGTCCGCCATATTGGACAACTACGTACGGCAACCCAAATAGGACACTTGACGTAGTGGCATTTGGCAAAGCAGAAAAAGAAAACAAAAAAAACCTGACAATATTAATCTGAACGAGAGATGAGTTATTGTTATTACAACGTGACTTCACTATTATTTAACAACTCCTTTTATTGGGTCCTTTTATTGGGTTAAGTACATTGTCAGAATAAGTGAGAAATGGATTTAACTTCTGATAGACAGCTATCATACTGAAGAAATGTTTACTGTGAATGTATGCTAAAATGTATCGCATTAATAATTTATATCTAATTACATTAACTGCTAAACTTTACCAGCTTTGGAATTATATATATAGCAATCGTTTAAGTTTAAAACTCGCGCATGCGCAATGCATATTGGGCAGCCGTCTAGACGTCAAGTCTCCTACTTGGGTTGCCGTATGTAGTTGTCCAATATGGCGGACCATGCGCAATGCAAATCGGGCAGGGATGCAGATTGGGTAGTCAGTACCACCTTCATATATGTTGCTGGATATAACCTTCCTCTGTATTAATAGATTTGTTTTCTAGCTGTTGTTTATCACTTACTCATAACAGCTGAGCCTTGTGATTAATTCCTGCTGTGGACTGATGTAATGAATCTGACTCCAGTACCTTGTTCCTGAGGAGTTTCTCCCAGTGTCCCGGCTGTTGTTTGGACAGTTTGAGGACCGGCTCGTTGGACTTCATTTCCCAGCAGCATCGGTCCGGAGCGATGTTGGCGTGAAGCTGCAGGTCGGCTCTGTAGGTGCGCTCGTTCACTCTGCCACTGAAAAACATCGGAGTCAAACTGAATGAGGAAATATCACTTTTTCTCTACTGTGCTGAACACAGAGGCGTTTGATTCACTGGCAGAAACTTCTCTCCATGAAAACACAGGAAGAGCCTTTATTCCAATCAGTTTGGGCACCAACTAAGTGATTTGCAATCGGTGAAGCCCTACTAATAACTAAACTGTAACTGAACTTTAATGTATAACTATCATTTTGAGAATTTCCCTTTTTTTTCACGAATTGAGAACTTTTTTTCAAATTACACGTTTGTCTCAGAATTATAATTTTTCATCCAAAATGTTACTTTTTGAGAATTTAACTTATTTTTCAGAATTAGAACATTTCACTTTTTTAATTATTTTTTTCTCAGAATTTCTGATATTTTTTGTGCAGAAATTGACTTTTTTTCTTTCATTCATGTCACTTTCCCAATTATTTTAGATTTTTTCCTCCAAATTTCACTTATTTCTCATGAATTCATATTTTTTTCACAATTTGAGAACTTTTTCTCCAAATTTCACTTAATTAGACATTTTCTCTGAATTTCACTTTTTTTCAAAATATTCCTTTTTTTTTTTAAATATAATTTCTTTATTCTGTGAATTACATTTTATTTATTTTTTTCCACACACACACACACACACACACACACACACACACACACACACACACACACACACACACACACACACACACACACACACACACACACACACACACACACACACACACCACACACACACACACACACACACACACACACACACACACACACACACACACACACACACACACACACACACACACACACACACACACACACACACCACACACACACACACACACACACACACACACACACACACACACACACACACACACACACACACACACACACACACACACACACACACACACACACACACACACACACACACACACACACACACACACACACACACACACACACACACACACACACACACACACACACACACACACACACACACAACCACACACACACACACCTCCTCAGTTTGTATCCCTTGTCTTAATATTTGTCCTTGTTTTGATGTTGCAGATGGAGCTGCTTTGATTTAAGTCAAATTTCAGACTTGATATGACAATAAATGATAAGCGAATCGTATAAAGAGCTCCACTGAGTGTTGGTGTGAGTTCTGCTGCTCACACACCTGTACACGACTCTGTCCTGGAAGAAGAGGCAGCTCTGGTTCTGCGGCTCCTTCAGTTTCATCGTCACGATCAATGAGTCGGACGTCTGGTACCAGCGGGCCAGAGGGTGGAAACTGAAACAACCAGAGCGAAGAAAATAAAAGCATTTAGAGTTTGATTATGTTATTAAAATGTAGTTCAGAGACACTAACATCTGTAGCTCTAATCGTGAAGTCCAGATCATCCACTGAAGATTTTAAATCAGAGAGGATTTTGTAGTGTAATCAGTTTTATTGGGCGTGTATGCATGGTGAGGCTTTAATTTCAAAATAAAAAAGGCCCATAATTTCCATTTTACGTTAACAGGACGCTTCAAATGGACATTTATCAAAAATAAAAGCACCCATCATTTAAATGTTACATTAACAGGGTGCCTCAAATGGGCCTTTCACAATAAAAGTAACCACATTTTCCATTTTCCATTAATAAGATGCTTCAAAATTGTATTTTTTCAAAATAAAAGCACCCACATTTCCATTTTACGTTAAGACGCTTCGAATGGAGCTTCTTTTTCAAAATAAAAGCACCCAAATGTACCTTTTAGGTTAACATGACGCTTCAAATGGGTCTTTTTCAAAATATAAGCACTCATCATTTCCATTTTATGTTAACAGGATGCTTCAAATGGACCTTTTTCACAACAAAACAGACTAGTTAAATTAATTTCCTTTTTCTCCACAATGTATAAACAGCTGTCAGTGAAGTGGTACCTTTTAACGGCGTCACCACAGTGTGTCTCATTACTGCTGATGAGCTGCTGGCTGCTGCTCTCATCCTCACCTGTAGACACACCTGAGCACAGACAGATCAGTGATCAGTTTCATTTAAAAAATTCAGTTTTTTCACCCATTATTTGACTACCTGTGGAAGCAGCTGCAAGATATATTTTAACCATAGCAGTTATTCATTAAATGCAACAATGCCACACAGTTATATACAGAGTTTTTATGAATGAATGAGTAATTATGCAGCTTGTTATATCTGATTATCTCCATATAATTAACTTCATATTGTACCATTCTGCCTGCACTCCATTAGGACAGACTTGCTGATCATGGGGTGAAGTTCTCCATCTTCGATCCTGTGTATTAAAATCAGAAAGCTTCTTTTACACACAAAAAATACAAAGATAAAAGACATTCATTCTTCCTAAGGACTTTCAGCTGAACTGTGTTATATTCTTTAATATCTATGACTGTTTAAATGTTATTTTTATGTATTTGTTCCGAGGTCTTAATCCCATTTCCTTTCAGAAAGAGCTGCTGAATCCTAACATGAACAGGAGGGGAAAGGGTTCTTGGCTTTTAAATTATCAGTAGCAGTCGACTCCAACACGTACTGGTATTTCGCGGGCTGATTAAAAACCTGACTTTAAAGGTCACCTATCATGCTATTTTTAGGCAATAGCATAGGTTTCAGACATGCTTTTTATATATCTATGAAGTGTTTTGCTCAAAATACCAAACAGATCACCCATTCTAGCCATGCCTCATATCCCTCTATTTCACTTCCTGTTTCAAAAGTGATGATTCTGGGTATAAACAGGTCTCTCTTGAGAATGAGATTTTCACCTGTATTTAATAAAGGCTAAATAAAATTGAAAAAATAAAATAAGAGGGGGCGGGACCCGGCAGATACTGTCTAAAATGCTGCCGTGATGAAACGCCATATCATGGATTATCAAGGATTATTTCTGAAACAGTATGGAGCTCAAAGGCTTTCTCTCTTGTTATACCACAAGGTGAGTTCCTTTTTATTTCCTGCTTCTTCACACACATGCTCTCCAGTACAGGTTAGCTCTGAGTGTTAGCGATGCTAATGTAAACACCGACCATATTACGTCCAAAACAGTCGGGCATTGTTTCTGATAGCAACGTTTCTGATAGGGCCGTGGGTCCACATTTCAGATATTACGTCATATCGGACGCAAATCTGGATCAGCTCCGTTGTTCCCCCGTTTTTAGAGATTTGGGTACGGAGGAAAAGAGAGAGGGTTTTATTTTCTGATGCTGCGTGAGTTCCCTGACACACCGGGCACACATGTTGATGTATACAAGACATCAAAAAGTGCATTTTGCATGATAGGAGACCTTTAAAACGATGGCATTTAAAAGAGAATATTTTCTGTTGAAATTGGATGAAAACTGTTGCTTTATTGTGAGTTAATTGGCTGTGTTTAGTAGTAGGGTTATACATAGAAGGGCTTTTTTGTTTGTTAATATGGCGCACACAAACAGTAAGAGAAAAGTCATTAAAAAAAAGAGACAATTATTAAAAGCAATTTTAACATAAAAAACATACAAAATAAAAATGTAACAAGGAATATAAAAAGAAAAATAACTTTAGTTTTAATTCTTGAAGCCTGGATTAAAGACCACCACATTTCCTCCGTTAAAAAAAGACACCAACCTTATTCTCAGATCAGCTGAATGTGTGTTTCTCTGTCCAGCAGCTGACTGGCTGACCATCAGGGGTCTCTGATCACTCACTGGAGCCAGGTGGAGGTCCAATACTGGTGGTACTGGTGTTACTGGGACCAGGGACTGGATCGTGGAAGAATCTGGACTGAGAGGCTCACAGGGCACGAGTTGAGGGAGGTCAGCGAGCTGCGAAACATCATTTTTACTGATCAATTATACCGCAATAGTCGGTGAAAAGTCTGTGATTATCTTCCATAAACAAACACTATGAATACAAGGCTGGTCGCATTCACTTACGTATTCATAGTGTTTGTTTGTATAGCTTGTATAGTCCGCTTGAATTGAACCCTGGTGCGTTTACCCGCTTGGTTTGTGAACAGTCGGAGACCTCTGAAGTGAACTAAACAACCGGACTCTGGTGGTCTCGGACCGCTTGCTAGTGAACTCTGGAGCGGTTCATCGCTGGTGTGAACGCAGTCCGCACTAAAACACAGGAAGTGTAGTAGTTACGAGTCACAAGAACGCGGATGTCTTCAAAATCTTTAGAGAAAGAGTGAAGCAGAATGAAGAGTTGAACAGTGTCGTATAAAGTAAAAATGCTCCGTCAACTATACATAAAAGTCAGAGCCACCTGCCGTCGGTGAAACGCCCCTCCTGACTGCTGAACGTCTCATTATATGTGTTATGTTTTTTATCGAACGTTGTCTGATTATATAATCATACACCCCGTCCACTAGTCTGTTGATCCCCAGATAAACAGCAGCATGAAAATAACCTGCCGATGCTCCAAAGCTCCGGTAGAAATAGCCGGGATTTGCGTTTGTACCCCCTTAATGTCTGACCAATTGTTGAACAGCATTTCCGAGCACATGACTTGTGTTTAAAGTTTATAGTCCGTTTGAGTTTTGCCCGTGTGAACGCAAACTGAACCTTCTGAAAAATGAAATAATGTAACAAACAGAGAAGCAGACTATTAGGTGTGGATGCGACCTAAAACACATTTATAGACTTGAGATTGTTTACTTCGTTCATCATATAGAAATGTATTTATTAGGATAAACCCCTGGAGAAGCATCGTCACGTTTTCAAGGGGGTCCCGACAAAAGCAACGTCTTACAGACATACATGAACAAAATAACAGAAAGCAAAGCAGGACAAACCACACAGTCTGTTAAGTAAAACTCATGACATGCAATGTTTACATTTTGATAGACAGTCGTGTCAAATCATGATCTGGTTTTGTCGTTTTAAAACTGACTGACCTCGGCTGCTCTGACGGCTTCAGCCAAAGCTTCCTCCTCCGCTTTGATCCGGACCTCCAGAGACACCGAACCATTTCCAGACCTACGAACAACAAAACGACGCTTCATTCATCAAATGAAGGGAGGTGGATTTATTCAGAGATGGACCCTACACATTAGGGGTGGGGCAAATAATCAATACAGCATAGTATCGCGATACTTTGCGTGGCGATATTGTATCGATACACGGACGCCAAGTCCATGTAAGCTACATCCATATGAGCATTACTTTAGAATACCATTAACCCTTGTGCCCTCCTCGAATTTTCAACCTTTCGACCCCTTCGTGGCAAAAATGTACACGCCCATAATAACTGCTATTAAATCATACATCAACATTTCTTTCTACTTTTTTTTTCATGAATCACTTAAACAACTTATAACGTACTCAAAACTACCAAACATTCAATAATTTTCAGGATTTTAACTCTTTAAATGCCTGTTTAATTAACTGAATTATTTCATTATTTATGACAAAAAACACAAAAAATGAATTTTTTTCAATATAATAATTAGTAGAGGGATGGAACTTTGGTGGTTATTAGAGTCTTGGATGTGTCAAAGATTAGCAACAAAATTGATTTGACTGCATTATTATTTTTTACGTAGTATCAGATACTACCTCTGGACACCTTCGTGGCAAACATGTACACGCCCCAAACAACTGCTATTAAATCATATATCAATATTTCTTTCTACTTTTTTTTTCATGAATCACATATACAACTTCTAACGTACTCAAAACTACCAAATATTCAATCATTGTCAGGATTTTAACCCTTTAAATGCCTGTTTAATTATTTTAATTATTTCATTTCTCTCAAAAATGCCTCATTGACTTCCATTCAGACCACATTTGTTGATCTCACTGCCATTGCAGTATAAAACCATGCATTTTGTAATGTCAGCATTTAATTTAGAAGAAAAGTAGTGATATTTGATATTTCTACTCTATTCCAACAGATTAAACCATTTTCCCACTGTAGGCCGATGCATGACATTCTTACATTTTTGCCAGTTATATTATGGAGCCGTGTGACTACCAGGGGGCCCCGAGAGTGGTGTATGTATGTATGTATGTATGTATGTGTGTGCGTATGCGTGTGCGTGTGCGTGTGTGTGTGTGTGTGTCATTTCCAGCAGCAGACCAGCAGGTCCTGCAGCATGTGACCTGGTGCTCTCTCAGGTGATAGAACAACCATTTTTTAGGCCTGTGCACAACCAGCACACACCTCTCCTCCCTCTCCGTGTGTGTGTGTGTGTGTGTGTGTGTGTGTGTGTGTGTGTGTGTGTGTGTGTGTGTGTGTGTGTGTGTGAGAATCTGTAAGCATGCACAGATCATTTCATGGGAACAAAAGGCCATCTTTTGAGGGATGTGTTTGATGTGTCTTTGAAGAGCTGCTTGATTACTCAAAAACAAAAAACAACTGTTAGTGTGTTTATGCACCTGGCTGCGAAAGATAAACATGCAGTTTGACCAAGGGCTTATTTCATTAGTGAGCAGAGAAGGAGAAAGACCTGGAGCAAAGAGAAGGAACTCAAATGAAGAAGCTTTTCAGTGCAGAAGAGACTTCAGAAATAATCTTGTAGCCTTCTTCTGCCAGCGAGCTGCAGGACTCATCTGAAGAAGACACAAGGTTCGAGCTGGGGTCTGACACTGAATGATCTCTGGAGTCCAGCATTTCTTTGAGTTCCTCTGACCCTTCATCTGAAAGTGGAGAGGACACTGAGGGTCCCGTCCACAGTGAGGGGACAGAGAAGAACGGAGGTCGTTCTCCCAGGAGCTGGGGAAAACCAGGGTGTCCTCACAGATTGTGAGAAGAAAGCCCCCCGTGGTGGTGGATGGTGGGCCGGACCCTCAGTGTCCTCTCCACTTTCAGATGAAGGGTCAGAGGAACTCAAAGAAATGCTGGACTCCAGAGAGCATTCAGTGTCAGACCCCAGAGAGCATTCAGTGTCAGACTCCAGAGAGCATTCAGTGTCAGACCCCAGCTCGAACCTTGTGTCTTCTTCAGATGAGTCCTGCAGCTCGCTGGCAGAAGAAGGCTACAAGATTATTTCTGAAGTCTCTTCTGCACTGAAATGCTTCTTCATTTGAGTTCCTTCTCTTTGCTCCAGGTCTTTCTCCTTCTCTGCTCACTAATGAAATAAGCCCTTGGTCAAACTGCATGTTTATCTTTGGCAGCCAGGTGCATAAACACACTAACAGTTGTTTTTTGTTTTTGAGTAATCAAGCAGCTCTTCAAAGACACATCAAACACATCCCTCAAAAGATGGCCTTTTTTTACCCATGAAATGATCCGTGCATGCTTACAGATTCTCACACACACACGGAGAGGGAGGAGAGGTGTGTGCTGGTTGTGCACAGGCCTAAAATATTGTTGTTCTATCACCTGAGAGAGCACCAGGTCACCTGCTGCTGACACACACACACACACACACACACACACACACACACACACACACACACACACACACACACACACACACACACACACACACACACACACACACACACACACACACACACACACACACACACACACACACACACACACACCACACACACACACACACACACACACACACACACACACACACACACACACACACACACACACACACACACACACACACACACACACACACACACACACACAACACACACACACACACACACCACTCTCGGGGCCCCCTGGTAGTCACACGGCTCCATGATATAACTGGCAAAAATGTAAAAATGTCATGCATCGGCCTACAGTGGGAAAATGGTTTAATCTGTTGGAATAGAGTAGAAATATCAAATATCACTACTTTTCTTCTAAATGAAATGCTGACATTACAAAATGCATGGTTTTATACTGCAATGGCAGTGAGATCAACAAATGTGGTCTGAATGGAAGTCAATGAGGCATTTTTGAGAGAAATGAAATAATTAAAATAATGAAACGGGCATTTAAAGGATTAAAATCCTGACAATGATTGAATGTTTGCTAGTTTTGAGTACGTTAGAAGTTGTATATGTGATTCATGAAAAAAAAAGTAGAAAAAGATATTGATATATGATGATTAATAGCAGTTGTTTGGGGCGTGTACATTTTTGCCACGAAGGTGTCCAGAGGTAGTATCTGACACTACGTAAAAATTAATAATGCAGTCAAATCAATTTTGTTGCTAATCTTTGACACATCCAAGACTCTAATAACCACCAAAGTTCCATCCCTCTACTAATTATTATCTTGACAAAAATTCATTTTTTGTTTTTTTTTTAAGAGAAATTAAATAATTCAAATAATGAAACAGGCATTTAAAGGGTTAAAATCCTGAAAACTATTGAATGTTTGGTAGTTTTGAGCACGTTAGAAGTTGTTCAAGTGATTCATGGAAAAAAAAGTTTAATAAAATATTGATGTATGATGATTTAATAGCAGTTTTTATGAGCGTGTACATTTTTGCCACGAAGGGGTCCAGAGGGTGCAAAATGCATCACGAGAGTATACAAAACATGTAAGAGTAAACGACATTGGATTTAAAAAATGTGACTCAACAGAAGACTTCTTGCAAAAATCCATGCCAAAAGCTGTAACACAGCTGAAATGATCACCAAATCAAAAAAAAAAGTCAGGAAAAATGTACAAAAATGCCCGAGGAGGGCACAAGGGTTAAACAAGTGAACTTCAAATAGTTTGCAAAGTTATAATACAGTATATGAACGAATTGAGATGATGTAAACAGGAAGTAGTTTGTCTCTATAGATGCTTATAGTTTCAGAAAACATGTAAGAGCAGATATTTGTTGACACATATCTAAACATTTATTTTAATGTTTGCTCCTTAAGGAGTTATTTTCTTCTGCGTGCATCATTTTCTGTCATTTTAAAACTGTGATCCTAATTAGACATTACATAAACGCCTCCATTGGACTCCTTTGTTTACTTCCGGAACATAGTGACATCACTATGTAAAATGTGCGCTCCTATTAGCTAGCCCTCCAACACATTGTACGTGATAGGCTAAGGGGCGGGACATCTCTAAGCGGCTGACCAAATCACAACAGAGCCGGCCCGCTAACCAATCAGAGCAGACTGGGCTCTGGTTTCAGACAGAGGGTGAAAAGTATGAGAAAAATAAAGAGCTTTTTGAACATTAAAGCATGGAGACATGTAGAGACACTACATACTGATATACACCTGAACATCAGTAGGAGAGGACTCTTTAAAGTAGAGACACTACATACTGATATACACCTGAACATCAGCAGGAGAGGACTCTTTAAAGTAGAGACACTACATACTGATATACACCTGAACATCAGCAGGAGAGGACTCTTCAAAGTAGAGACACTACATACTGATATACACCTGAACATCAGCAGGAGAGGACTCTTTAAAGTAGAGACACTACATACTGATATACACCTGAACATCAGCAGGAGAGGACTCTTTAAAGTAGAGACACTACATACTGATATACACCTGAACATCAGCAGGAGAGTACTCTTTAAAGTAGAGACACTACATACTGATATACACCTGAACATCAGCAGGAGAGGACTCTTTAAAGTAGAGACACTACATACTGATATACACCTGAACATCAGCAGGAGAGGACTCTTTAAAGTAGAGACACTACATACTGATATACACCTGAACATCAGCAGGAGAGGACTCTTTAAAGTAGAGACACTACATACTGATATACACCTGAACATCAGCAGGAGAGGACTCTTTAAAGTAGAGACACTACATACTGATATACACCTGAACATCAGCAGGAGAGGACCCTTTAAAGTAGAGACACTACATACTGATATACACCTGAACATCAGCAGGAGAGGACTCTTTAAAGTAGAGACACTACATACTGATATACACCTGAACATCAGCAGGAGAGGACTCTTTAAAGTAGAGACACTACATACTGATATACACCTGAACATCAGCAGGAGAGGACTCTTTAAAGTAGAGACACTACATACTGATATACACCTGAACATCAGCAGGAGAGGACTCTTTAAAGTAGAGACACTACCTACTGATATACACCTGAACATCAGCAGGAGAGGACTCTTTAAAGTAGAGACACTACATACTGATATACACCTGAACATCAGCAGGAGAGGACTCTTTAAAGTAGAGACACTACATACTGATATACACCTGAACATCAGCAGGAGAGGACTCTTTAAAGTAGAGACACTACATACTGATATACACCTGAACATCAGCAGGAGAGGACTCTTTAAAGTAGAGACACTACATACTGATATACACCTGAACATCAGCAGGAGAGGACTCTTTAAAGTAGAGACACTACATACTGATATACACCTGAACATCAGCAGGAGAGGACTCTTTAAAGTAGGTTCATAGAGAGTTTCCTCACCCAGAGATGCACAGCGCCTTCAGCAGCTCCAGATGTTCGGGGTTACCGACGGCCATCCCTGAGCTCAGGATCTCCGACTGCACGGTGTACTCATTGATCACAGTTTTCATACCCGGAACCTGCGTCATATGGACCTGGGAAACAAAACAAAAAGGTAATTATTTAAAAAAGCGACCAAAGAAAATAACTGACTTGACAGATTTTGCAACTGTGATATTATTTGCAATGTTAGAGGGAATGATCATTTTTAAACCATTAATCACATTATATTAAAAATGAATATGATGTGATGATTAAAGAGGATCTGTACCAGAAAGTTATTTTGTATGAAGTCTGTAGAACATTGTTTGTAGGCGAGGGTTCGATGTTGCACTTGTCCATATTGTGACATGGATAGGATTTAGATTAATTGTGCAGCCCTTTTTATTATAGAGACTGAGGTTTGATGACACAATCATGTTCATCTACTTTTGGAGAAACCTTACATTTCAAAAAGTAGTCAAGTACCTTCAGTTATTAATTAGGAAATAATACACTACTGCTGGGAGAGAACAATAACTATATAATATACACTTTTTCACTATTTATTAACATTATAACTGGCTCCTACTTCAATACCTTTATATGTTCACATACTTTTTCATACCACTGTTGCTTATTTTTTACCATGAATGTATACTATGTGATTTAATTTCACAAATGTGTGCTTGCCTTTTTATTCAATATGTTAGTGTACTCATTCTACTGAGCGTTTTATCTGCGCTGTAACGATGAAAATATCCTCGCTGTGGGACAAATTAATGATAGTTTCTGACTTTATCTGTCCATCAATTAACCACTAATTGAAAAGGAGGTGATTGGCAGGTAGAAACGTACCATGGGATCAACAAACACCGTGTTTCCCAGACTGAAGACGGCTCTGGCTCGATGCTGAAGACCTCGGATCTTCTGGCTGATCGCTCTGGTGACCTGTGTGCAAAACATTTTTTTATCAAATCACATTACCATGAGGCTGAATGTCTAAATGAGACGACTAAACGTCATCACGCCCATAATTAGCCGTCGTTAGCTTAGCGGTGGTGAGGTGAAGTCATGTGACCGTGCTGTAGTTCCTTTATAGCCCAACATTAGCCGCCTTTAGCTTAGCGGTGGTGACGTGAAGTCATGTGACCGTGCTGTAGTTCCTTTATAGCCCAACATTAGCCACCTTTAGCTTAGCGGTGGTGACGTGAAGTCATGTGACCGTGCTGTAGTTCCTTTATAGCCCAACATTAGCCTCCTTTAGCTTAGCAGTGGTGACGTGAAGTCATGTGACCGTGCTGTAGTTCCTTTATAGCCCAACATTAGCCACCTTTAGCTTAGCGGTGGTGACGTGAAGTCATGTGACCGTGCTGTAGTTCCTTTATAGCCCAACATTAGCCACCTTTAGCTTAGCGGTGGTGACGTGAAGTCATGTGACCGTGCTGTAGTTCCTTTATAGCTCAACATTAGCCACCTTTAGCTTAGCGGTGGTGACGTGAAGTCATGTGACCGTGCTGTAGTTCCTTTATAGCCCAACATTAGCCACCTTTAGCTTAGCGGTGGTGACGTGAAGTCATGTGACCGTGCTGTAGTTCCTTTATAGCTCAACATTAGCCACCTTTAGCTTAGCGGTGGTGACGTGAAGTCATGTGACCGTGCTGTAGTTCCTTTATAGCCCAGCATTAGCCTCCTTTAGCTTAGCTGTGGTGACGTGAAGTCATGTGACCGTGCTGTAGTTCCTTTATAGCCCAACATTAGCCTCCTTTAGCTTAGCGGTGGTGACGTGAAGTCATGTGACCGTGCGGTAGTTCCTTTATAGCCCAACATTAGCCACCTTTAGCTTAGCGGTGGTGACGTGAAGTCATGTGACCGTGCTGTAGTTCCTTTATAGCCCAACATTAGCCACCTTTAGCTTAGCGGTGGTTACGTGAAGTCATGTGACCGTGCTGTAGTTCCTTTATAGCCGAACATTAGCCACCTTTAGCTTAGCGGTGGTGACGTGAAGTCATGTGACCGTGCTGTAGTTCCTTTATAGCTCAACATTAGCCACCTTTAGCTTAGCGGTGGTGACGTGAAGTCATGTGACTGTGCTGTAGTTCCTTTATAGCCTAACATTAGCCACCTTTAGCTTAGCGGTGGTGACGTGAAGTCATGTGACCGTGCTGTAGTTCCTTTATAGCCCAACATTAGCCACCTTTAGCTTAGCGGTGGTGATGTGAAGTCATGTGACCGTGCTGTAGTTCCTTTATAGCCCAACATTAGCCACCTTTAGCTTAGCGGTGGTTACGTGAAGTCATGTGACCGTGCTGTAGTTCCTTTATAGCCCAACATTAGCCACCTTTAGCTTAGCGGTGGTGACGTGAAGTCATGTGACCGTGCTGTAGTTCCTTTATAGCCTAATGTTAGATTTTTAGTTCAGAAATCATAAAGAGGTGTTAATATGTGGAGATTAAACGTGTCAGTATCATAAGCGTTGGAAATTATGGAAAAATCCCAATGGTTTTAGGTCGAGGGAACCAGGTGTTAACTTACATGCCCTATTTCTGTTTATGTTCAATGTGTTCACTTGGAGTTCTATCGTGAAGAACCGGAAGTGTTACCGGATGTTGTGAAGTGTTGTATGGGATATCCGAAGATGGCGGTGTGCTGAAATAAAGTGTCGTGCTAAGACAAAAGTGTGTCTTATTATCGAGTAACACTAGGGAGATGCTGCCTTCACGGTCCACTACAGAAATACGACATTAGAGATCAAAGCAAAGATAGAGAATGAAACCTTTGGGTGCCAGTCGGTCTCAGCGTCCACTGGTTTGACGCGGCACACGATGATCTCCACGGCCTGGCCGGGCAGAGAGTGAAACCTCTCCGGGAGCTTCAGGATCTGATGGGACTTCACTTCCTGCTCCTTCCCCACATCGATGAATCGGACAAACACCGCGTAGAACAACCGGTCTCCTCTGTCGGGGACGGACAGGATCTTCACTCTGAAGAGGGGGCGGAGCAAAGACATTATTACTAGTTGCTTGGATTATTGCAATTCTCTGTTTACTGATCTCCCTATAAAATGCATTGAGAAATTGCACTGTTCATGTTTTTACATATTTTAATGATGTTCCTCATTTGTTATTGTCATTATTTTTGTCATACTCTGTAAAGCACTTTGGGCTGCCTGAAGTATGAAACGTGCCTTATTATAAATAAAGTTTATCATTATGTATCCACTTGTACTGATGGCAAAGGAAAATAATTGGATCGGAAAAATTGTGGTTTTCGCGCACCAAAAATATCAAACCTAATTTAATAAAACATGGATGAAGAATGTTTGCTGTCAACTTAAGAACTAACAATGGTTAACCCTCTAAAGCTGTGCAAAACAGACAATAATAATGCTGTATAACCCGTGCAATTAATTCAAATGAATGTCCACTAGCTTGCAAAATGGCCTTCTAGTTAGAGCAGAGTACGACTCCTGTTTTTTTTTTTAATATATATCTGTTGTAATTTATTGTAGTAATGTGTTTTTATTACATGTCCAGCACTTTGGCTCGAGCAAAAATCGCTTTTAAATGTGCTTTATAAATAAAACTTGATTTGATTTGAAAATCTCCTCTTTAGTGATCCCTCCCTCCCTCAATTTGTTTTGGATTCCAGTCAGACCTAGGGATGGGTATCGTTAATGTTTTAACGGTACTACTACAGATGGAGCCTCTTATTTTGGACCCCAGCATACAGCTTCCTGCCTACTGCCAGCCAGTTACCTGCCTAAGACCTGCCAAAGACCAGTATTCAGGAATGTTAGGCCCTCCCACTATTCTCCAATTTCAGGGTTTAACCAGGAGATGGCGCTATATATTAAATAACTATGGCCAAACTAAGACTTAGTTTTTCACAAGAGACAATGCAGATATTATATAAAAAACTAAAGTTAAAATCTTGTTTTTAATGCCCCAAGAGCAATAACATCTTGTCACAAGCTTTTTGGAAGAAAAAGACTTCAAGAGACCTGTAGTTGACTAATTACAGGCCTCAATAAAGTTCTGCCATTGGTTGTGAAAAACAACGGTGGACATAGTGGAAAGTGAAATTGAGATTGTCAAATTTAATAAAAATACAAAATAATGTATCTGTGTACGTGTTTTACTATATGTGATCTGCATGCACTTATCAAACATCTAATTAAAGAATGGGGAGGAGCAAAAAACACACACTTCAAGTCAGATCATCACCCTTAGCTATTTCAATTACCTCTCAAACAACCTAAACTAGTTATAAATGTTTATTTTAAATAAAGTCTTTATGACTCGGAATATGAATAACATGGGTCCGTTACAGTTTGTTTTCATCTGATTTCAAATAAACAAAGTCTTGGCTTTCAGAATATTAAACTTGTTTCGGCAAATTTAGATGATAAATACAACTATGAAGCCGACCCCCCTCTGAGTGAATACCTGTTAACTTAATTGTTAACACAATAAAAATGATAACAAGAAAAGTTCATGTTTTATCAAGATGATGGGTTTCCCTAACGCTCAGAGTCGCAACGACTAATTACAGGCCTCAATAAAGTTCTGCCATTGGTTGTGAAAAACAACGGTGGACATAGTGGAAAGTGAAATTGACATTGTCGAATTTAATAAAAATACAAAATAATGTATCTGTGTACGTGTTTTATGTGATCTGCATGCACTTATCAAACATCTAATTAAAGAATGGTAGCTGTACCTCTCAAACAACCTAAACTAGTTATAAATGTTTATTTTAAATAAAGTCTTTATGACTCGGAATATGAATAACATGGGTCCGTTACAGTTTGTTTTCATCTGATTTCAAATAAACAAAGTCTTGGCTTTCAGAATATTAAACTTGTTTCGGCAAATTTAGATGATAAACTTTAAACTTTCACACACGTTGACCGGCGAAAAACTCTGCCCGGTTCACCGACCCCCCTCTGAGTGAATACCCAAGATATCGTGGTTTGATTTGGTTTGATTTGGAGAATTTATTTAGCTACTTGGCACTAAGAGTACAGATATGTCTACCCTTTCTTTTCAGAGTGTAATATCTGCATTTTCTCTTTTGGTTTGAATAGGAGAAGGGCAATGGTTATCAATGGTGCTTTTAATGCCTATTGTATACGAACTGTGTGATTTATATTGCTTTTCAAATGCATATAAGCCCCCCATTTACACTGCACTTCCCCGTCAAGAAAATGAATAGCACTTAGTTAGATCACTTTACAGATCAGGTTGGACCAGCCCTGTCGCTACTCTCTGCATTTCCTACTGCAGATAAAAAAAAGCTACAAATATGTATTTCTTAATAAACTAAATAGGCCACCATTGGTAGCAGTTCTCATTATATACTTCTCAGTATACTTCCCCCACCCGCCCACTGTTTGTTGCTTTTTGACATGTAAATGGATAACTACCCCCCTCTGAGTGAATACCTGTTGTACCTGTCCGGGGCTAAGCCCATAGGACGATGCTCTGATGTCATCACCCTCGCTCATTGGTCATATGTTTATGAGATCACTGTGATTCACTTCCCCGCGGCTCCTCCGTGCAGAGAGGCCCCCCCCCCCGTTGACAATTCACGAGCGTCTAACTCTCTCCCCCCTCCCCCGTCGCACCTTCTAACAGAACCCCCCCCCCCCCCCCCCCCCATATCTGGATTTGGCCCACAGACCTAGAGAGTAGCAAAATACAGTGAGTCCTAAACACAAGTAGTCAGGGTTCATTTATAACGCTTATTTTTGATTTATTTTTCTCAAATGATGCTGTATGTTTCACTTTCTGAAAGCGTTAGAATCGCACATGAAAAATATTGAAAGCTGCCAGCTGCCCTCGGCCATGTCTTTGGCGGTGATCCAAGCTTCGGTACCACAGTGGATAAAGTTAGTAATACATTTATAGGCTACTGATCAAATGTCAATACATTACATAAGTCTTATTCTCATTCATACTTAATTTATTTCTTCTTCTGTCAGTATGAACACAAAAAACTAACCGGTATTACATTTCATTCTAAAGTTTACGGTCTAAAAAGGTATTTAAAACAGATAATTTGTCGTTGCTTTTGGCATAAGCAGTCAGAGGAAACATAACGTTCTCAGTAAGATTCCTTGAAGAACTAGAGCACAAGAACCAAAGTAAGCTTTACTTTCAATGAACCTTCAATATAGACCTAACATGTGAAGAAACATACTTTATTTAAAATAAACATTTATAACTAGTTTAGGTTGTTTGAGAGGTAATTGAAATAGCTAAGGGTGATGATCTGCGAACACAAACTACAGACTGCTGGAGAAGAGATATCACAGGGGGGGGGGGGGGGTTGGGACACACATTCCGATGGCCAATTCGTTTTAAACAAAGAGTAGGCTATACTCAACATAGTGGGGTGGGGGCTGGTGAACGGTATGGTCAATGTTTGTAAACACTGTGACATTTTGACTTTATTTGATCATTTCAGTTAAAAACTAACGTTCATATTTCATATTACTGTTTTGCCTGGCTGGACCTGTAATTTACAGGAAAGGAGTGCACGCTACTAAAGAGACACGCTACCATGGAAACCAAACAATGGTGTTGCTGTATTGAAGTCCGAGTGGAAACAGTCATATTTGGAGCGTTATGTTAGAATGAAACAGCGAGGTCGTGACTCACAAAAAAAAAAGTGTTACTTCACTAACTGTAAGCTTGTCACTCAGAGTAACCTACAGTTAACTTAACTGTTGGAAAAGAAAGATCAGGGGGGGAGAGAGCTGTGATGGGCCATTAGGAGTGTAAACACACAGCTGAGAGCTGCCGTTTCATTCTGACTGTTTAAAAAACGGTAACAACGGACTATTTTTCTTAGCGGATGCATGTAAATTTAAATCAATACATACAACTATTTTTTAAATCAATAAAAATATTTTCTAAATCCATAAAAGCATTTTAATTAATATTGGGAGTCATGTCGTTACTTTGTGGCCATGTAATAAGCGGGATAATTTGCAGCGACTTGGTCATTATGGGGAAAAATAACACCCAGGGATCAGTAATTTTTAGTGAATTACTGAGTTTAGGCACGTTAATAACATTTTAATGAAGTTGAATACAGTATATTCATATTTGTCAGTGATTTCATGTCAATTCGGCGAACATAAACGATTAAATTAGGATTAAAAATCGAGAGCCGGCTGCTGTTCGTTACGGTAACCCAACTAGGACACTTGACACAGTGGCTTTTGGCAAAGCACACAAAGAAAACAAAAAAAACCGAGAGAGATGAGTTATTGTTATTACAACGTGACTTCACTATTATTTAACAACTATTTTTATTGGGTTCTTTTATTTGGGGTTAAGTACATTGTCAGAATAAGTGAGAAATGGATTTAACTTCTGTTAGACAGCTATCATACTGAATAAATATTTATGCAAAAATGTATGGCATTAATAATGTATATCTAATTACATTTAAAAATGTATGGCATTTTAGTGAACCAGACCAGCTGTTTCCGCCGGGTCTTCGCTTCCCGGGCATCACGTTGTTTACAAGTGTGTTCAGATGCTAAATAAAAGTTTAGCTTGTACTTTTGATACCCCGCCTCTCGGCACCACAACATCCAGTTTACTGTATTTCACATGAGCGATGTCGAACATTGAAAAGTCCTTATAAAATCTCTGTTATTAGATCAGTACTTTTCTTATATGACTATTATTGACTTGAACACTGAGAATGTATTTATTAACTTCAGACATTTGAAATATTTGAAATCAGATGAAAACAAACTGTAACGGACCCTGCCGTGTTATCTATGATTACTATGCCTTACTATACATTCATAATTTCAGCCGGAGGTAGGTGGTAGGCGTTGCGGAGGAGCAGATTGCGAGTGAGGTGCCTGTTCTAAACGAACTATTCCAGCTGTTATAAAGCATTAAATAAAAAGTAAGCAAGGAATACAGAATGTTTCGTTACGTAACTTTGTTGAGAATGTGGCCATGTACATGTACATAATACATGGGATCATTTGCAGCGACTTGGTCATTGTGGGGAAAAATAACACCCATCCTGATCGTTTCAATGAAGTTGAATACAGAATATTCATATTTGTCAGTGATTTCATGTCAATTCGGCGAACATAAACATCAATGATGATGATTAAATTAGGATTAAAAATCGGGAGAGCCGGCTCGTTCGTTTTTTCCGACTAAATAACATTATTTAAATGATTACATGTCTTATTTAGCACAGACTATGATCCTATCCGTGACATATGGATCTTAACAACAAAGAAGTTGATTTCACATGACTCCAGTGTGGAACCCCACTGCACCCCCTGGTGGATCAATGATCCATTGCAGCTGGCTTCACAATAATTAAATGTATTTATCATGGGGGCGGTATCAAGTCAGACTGGGGGCCGGCCGGCCATCACGGAACGTGCACGAACCGATCACGACCCTCGCATTTTAAACTGTCCAAAATAAGACGCTTCATCTGTACTTTTATCGATCCCACTTATCGTTCCAGTGCTTTAACGGTACTCTTATCGGTTCTTTTGAAGAAAAGAACAAATTGTAAATAATGTGAACTTACAGAAATGTAAAAAACAAACAAAAAACAAGCATTTACTGCATAAACACAGTGGTACAGAGCAACACAGGTGGGGCATACAGGTATGCTGCCAAAGGCCTAACGGTTCTTCTGGAGGAAGATTAAGGTATACATAACACACCTGACGTGGAAACGTTACTCGTGGATGAAGCTACAGAGCTACTAGAAAGACAGTCGAACCCGGTGCATTTCTCCGTCTGAATGTGGAGCACTTTCACAAGATGTTTAGACAAATTGCTCGTGTTACCGCCCTCACATGCTAAACTCTTATTGCACTTTTGGCAACGAGTATTGTCCACATCGAGACGGGTAAAGTTTAACCACACCTCGGAGCGCGTTCTCTCCGCCATCTCGTCCGTGTGTGTGTGTGTGTGTGTTGCATGAATGTAGCAGAGCGTGTGTGTAAACTGCCCCGCCCCCTCGCACACAGACGGGGGAGAGAGATCTCTCGTCTGGGTTGGAAAGATCGAAAATACATCATAGACGCATTTTGCAGTCTTTTTGCGTGTTAGAAACGGAGTTGACGAAACTGAAACTGCAATATAATGTTTGTGTAGCAATAATACAGATGACATGTTTTAGATGTCTCCAGTACCGATAAAAAGACCGATAACGTCAGAGCTTCACGGCACCACGGTCTTTAATAATTCAGCCCCCGGGGCCCCTTTAATACCGGGGCTCGGTACCCTTCCCTAGTCAGACCTGTGGTAGAAGTTGTCCTCCTGCACAGCGAATAATCCTCCCTCCAGAATCTCCTCCACTCCGGGCTTCTTGTCGGCGTAGAAATCCTTCATCTCCGACGCCATGTTCTGAAAACCTCCGTCCTCCTTCCTGACGATATGGCCGTAAAACACGGACGCCGTCTTAATGTAGAGAGGAACCACCTGGGAGGACAGACAACATTTAGAGCAATCAATGGGCCCTGGTTGATGGATTGGAAATAACCAAAAAGGTGTTTTAATGAACCCTGATGTCCTCACTTCTATGACTCCGGAGGCAGGAAGCACAGACTGATCCAGCTCGGAGACGAAGGTGTGACGATCGGGACACACACTGCTGTCTCTGCAGAGGACAACAGTTAGTGGAGCAGGAACATCAAAACCAAATGGAAAGATAACAGAAATAGCAATAACATGAGTTTAGTATGGGCTTTAATGTTCTAATTTCTAAAATAACTACATCTTTAAAGCTCACCTATTATGCTATAATTGAACAATATGTTATAGGGCCATATCTATACAAAACATGTCTCTGAAGTGTTTTGCTCAAAATACCAAACAGATATTTTTTCCCTTTGGAGCACACGCACAGAGAAGCAGATACTCAGCTAAATGCTGCCGTGATTAAACGTAATTAAATGTAATTATAAACTAAGGATTAAACTTAAAATAAAAACAGCAAAATACCTGCAGACTCCGAAGCTCTTGATGTATCCACAGAGAGGTCGGTGGGTCTTCTGCTCCTCGCGGGCCGTGTTGACGCCCCGAGCGAAGTCCAGCAGCTCGGGGGGCAGCGGGGCGTTGGTGCGTTCCAGATACCGCAGAACCCCGACCACGTGACAGGCGTTCCTCTCCGAAATCAACAAGACCGAGCGGGTGAGGCGAGGACTTCCTGTCTGATCCTGGGAGGAGAGGAGGAGAAACCAGAGAGATGAAACGCCATCATGTTCCAAACCACATCAAGGATTATCTCTGAAACAGTATGGAGCTCAAAGGCTTTCTCTCTTGCCGGTTATACCACAAGGTGAGTTCCTTTTTATTTCCTGCTTCTTCACACACATGCTCTCCAGTACAGGTTAGCTCTGAGTGTTAGCGATGCTAATGTAAACAAAGACCATATTACGTCCAAAACAGTCGGGCATTGTTTCTGATAGCAACGTTTCTGATTGGGCCGTGGGTCCACATTTCAGATATTACGTCATATCGGACGCAAATCTGGATCAGCTCCGTTGTTCCCCCGTTTTTAGAGATTTGGGTACGGAGGAAAAGAGAGAGGGTTTTATTTTTCTGACACAACGGGGACACATATTTATGTATAAAAGACATCAAAAAGTGCATTTTGCATAATAGGACACCTTTAAAGTAACGCAGAAGTGATTAATACGGGAACAAGGACTTTACGATTGTTCTTACCCGGTCTGAAAGGTTCCTGAAGTGTTCGGCCATACAGAAGAGCCGGCTGCCGAACACTTTGGGGGACGTGGGGAAGCCGTAGTGGACGACACACGTGGCGTCTCTGATCCCCAAACACTTCAGACACTCGCTGGAGGTCACTAAAGGTCAAACACAACAATCAAACTACAAGCAAACGGTGTTGATTAGCGGTGTCTGCGTTGTTGTGTTTCTTTTGTTGAAGAGACCCTGAGACGTTTATTCACTGACTGACAACAGATATAAAACAAATCAGTCGTTATTTAATTAGTTTTCCCTCACACCGACTCCTCTCCCGTGAAACATATTATTATTATGTATTTATTTCAACAAGGACCATGCATACAAATACATTAATCTCAGAAAAGAGATCGGAAATGATCTTCCGTGTACAGTGACTGAATTTTGGAGGATCCGCCCACTGATTTCAGACCTGGTCAGGTATTTAACGTTTTGATAAATGAAGAACACAGAATTATTAAATACAAAACACAGAATTTGTGATTATATATTAGAAATATTTGACACCAAACAACACTGCATATTTACAATTGTGACACACAGATATCGAAACACATTTACTAAATCCCTTATAGTGAATGTTCATTTTACCCAGAATAACGTGAGTCCCGGGGCCGATGTCTTTCCTCCACTGCTGGACCACGAAGTCAAACTGGTGCGTTAACCCCTCGTGGGTTTTGAGGCAGAACGCTGACTTGCTGCCCACGGCCTAAATATAAAAGAAAGGCGGGTTAACTTTGCTCTTTGGTTTCTCTTCACACCGTCACCATCTGTAAAGCATGCTTTTATTAGAGACACAGTGTAGTAGGACTGAGACACTAACTGTATTTAGTTTGGAGTTTTAAGGTCACTGCTTAAAGGTCACCTATCATGCTATTTGTAGGCAATAGCATAGGTCTCAGATATACAAAAATATAAAAACATGTCTATGAAGTGTTTTGCTCAAAACACCAAACAGATCACCCATTCTAGCCATGCCTCATATCCCTCTATTTCACTTCCTGTTTCAAAAGTGCTGATTCTGGGTATAAACCGGTCTCTCTTGAGAAACACCCCCTGTGTCTCACTCACCCCTTTCACACCGGCGCTTTTCCAGCTCCTGCTGGGAGCTAGAGCCTGAAAAGCGCCGGTTTTTCCTGTTCACACCGCAGCGGCGGCGCGTCATAGCTCCGGAATGCGGTTCACTTCCAGCTCCAAAAAATTGTCGGTCCAGAGGCAAGAGCTTTGGAGCTATGACGCGGCGTCGCTTACGTCTCTTACGTCGAGGCGTGCAGGAAACCTTACTTTGACCATCCGTTCGCTGTTATTGATCATTGTGGAGATACATGGGCTATACAGGTTGTCATGTCCGACTATCAGAAGTAGAATCATAATGAAAAATACGCCGGTAAAATGTGCCTATAGAAAACGGCTTAGCAAGTAGTCAGTTTAGCTTCGGTTGCTATGCTAACATCACCCATGTTATACCAGAGAAACTTTCATAACAGCGTTGTGATGCCAAACAGCGTCAATTCAGACTGACACACATTCACTTAAGGGGAACTGGGGATATGTATCAGCTGCTTGTGTGACAGTCAGACAGTGAATACTTTAGAGCCGTGTGAGCTAACCCGGAGCTAATGGGAGAATACACCCGTGGAAGAGCAGCCAGCACTGCAGCGGTCGGTAAATGCCGCTGAAACACATTAATAAACAATGAACCACGGCACTCTGGAGAAAAGTATAAGGTTGGAGAAGTCGTTATTTAATTTAATCTGGCTTCGTATGATTAAAAGCAACACGACCCGACGCAGTCCCCGGCCCGTTGTTGTTGTGGGAGAAAATCAGCGACGTAAACTGTGACGTCATGACGCAGCAGCGGCAGCTCTGGGCAGTGTGAACAGAGCGGGAGCTGAAAAGGGAAACGGGAGCTGAACCAGAAAAGCTCTCGCGAGGAGCTAGAAAGTGAAAAGCGCCGGTGTGAAAGCCGCAACTGAGATGTTCACCTGTATAAATAAAGGCTAAATTAAAAAATAAAGCTTTTCTTTTTTTTTTTACTGAAAAAACAGTGAGGGGGCGGAGCTTATGCCGGCTCATGCGGGACCTGGCAGATACCGTCTAAAATGCTGCGGTGATGAAACGCAAAGATTATTAGATCAAGGATTATCTCTGAAACAGTATGGAGCTCAAAGGCTTTCTCTCTTGCCGGTTATACCACAAGGTGAGTTCCTTTTTATTTCCTGCTTCTTCACACACATGCTCTCCAGTACAGGTTAGCTCTGAGTGTTAGCGATGCTAATGTAAACACCGACCATATTACGTCCAAAACAGTCGGGCATTGTTTCTGATAGCAACGTTTCTGATAGTGCCGTGGGTCTGCGTCTGATATGACGTCATAACGGACACAAATCTGGATCAGCTCCGTTGTTCACCCGTTTTTAGAGATTTGGGTACGGAGGAAAAGAGAAAGGGCAGTGAGACTGTTAAACAATTGAACTGCTGAAACAATTTCAAAACATTCATCTGCTACTTAGTAATATATATCTACTATCTAATATATATCATTCCAATAACTTGTATATAGACTCGTACTGCACTATTCCACATACTCACTTTATTTTAGAATTATTTTTATTTTTGTATTACTCTTACTATCTGTATTATTATGTTGCATTGTTGGAGAAGCCTGTGACATAAGATTTTCAACAACATAATTACTCTGTAGCTATGTTAGTTTGACAATAAAGAACCTTGAAACGGGTTTTATTTTCTGACGCTGCGTGAGTTCCCCGACACACCGGGGACACATTTATGTATAAAAGACATCAAAAAGTGCATTTTGCATGATGGGTCCCCTTTAATATTGAGGGTAACATTTATATAACTGATAGCAATGAATCTCCAGTGACTGACAGATCCCACAGTGAAGTCAATGCAGAAGAATTGATCCGACGATGGTTTACAAAAAACTAAAGATTGCTTGGTGTGGTTTCTTTTTCTACAAACACATAAGCAGTAGTGCAGCAAATTGATCCTTAAAGCTACCATAGTGAAGTAGCTTTAAATTGTACTGTTTTGAGTGTTGTCGAAGTATGATGTGATATTTTAAAATCCTTAAGTAATGTAGTTAACAAAACAAATGTGGTTTCCTGAAATGAAATGCCATATACACCATCATTTCCGTCATATGCTCCACCCCTAGCTTTGAGCATATTACGTTTAGCAGTATTTGGTAATACTCCCATCTATATTATTACACATGATTGCACTATAAATCCCTACAGGTGAAGCCTCTCCAGTTGTGGAGTGTTATCTTCACCTTCATCAGAGGGTTCACTTATCTGCTGGTGTCATATTAGTCCTACATTAGATATTTAAAGCACAGTATATATATATATATATATATACATCTGATAAAGCTGCCGTCTCACCTTGAACACGTCCTCCACCTCCTGAGCAGATTTGGCTACGATCAGCGTCTTCTGGCCGACGTCGGAGTTGAAATCCAACGAACCGAGCAGCACCGAGATCTTATTGTTCTCCACAGTCATGAGGATGATCTGCAGGAAGACATTCATTTAAGCTGAGAATCACATCAGACACAAAACACTGAGGGCAAAAGTACACACATCCTTTCCTCAAGTAGAAGTACAGATACTCGTGTTTAAAAATACTCTGGTGAAAGTAGAAGTACTGACTAAACTTCTTTACTCAAGTCAAAGTAAAGAGGGCTTTGAAATGTACTTCAGTAAAAAGTACCCATAACTAGCAGCTGTTTTAAAGAGTACCTGACCTCCCTTTATATTAATAGAACAATAATGTCATTGTTAGCTAATGAATGTTTCCATGCTGAACAACGGCAACATGACAACGTTTTCATTGGTCCCTCTTCTTTAGAGAAGACCAGGAAATGATGGATACACGGATCGTGTTCAAATCAATAGGCACGCAATGACTCTAAATAATAATGATCACGCCACCAAACACACATTCAAACTAAAGGAACCAGCCTGTTTGGAAAATGAGAGAAGTAGAAAGTACAGGTATTTGAGTTCAACATGTAAGAAGTAGAAAGTACAGGTATTTGTGTTCAACATGTAAGAAGTAGAAAGTACAGGTATTTGTGTTCAAAATGTAAGAAGTAGAAAGTTCAGGTATTTGAGTTCAACATGTAAGAAGTAGAAAGTACAGGTATTTGGGTTCAACATGTAAGAAGTAGAAAGTACAGGTATTTGAGTTCAACATGTAAGAAGTAGAAAGTTCAGGTATTTGAGTTCAACATGTAAGAAGTAGAAAGTACAGGTATTTGGGTTCAAAATGTAAAAAGTCGTCAGGAAAATAAGTAGTGGAGTAAAGTACTGATACCAGAAAAATGTACTTAAGTACAGTAACGAAGTATTTGTACTCCACTACTTCCCACCTCTGACACTGAGCACAAGTATAACATATTAAAACATCGGCTATTTAGCTCACCCCCTAAAATGTTAAAGTGATGCCAGAAAACAATATTTCTGTTCTTCAAAAACTGTATAATGACTCCAGAAATATGAGTATCAGACAGAGCGTCAGACGGCAGGGACAGTTTTGTTTTTACGGAGCTCCGACGTCACGTTGTTGTTTACGTCCGAGGCGCCATTTTGTATAGATGTGGAAAATGTATATATCTTATAAACAAGATCAGAGTACACATACTATATCTTTCTAGAAACACCTCTTGTGAACTGAACCTGTACTTATATTTGAATTTGTATTTTTTATTCTCACTTATTGTATTGTCCCAGTCCGTACTTTTGGAAAACAATAAATATCAAGTATCAAAGAAAAGATTACAAGATGAGTTTTGTCTTAATGATAGTTATTTAGGTGGACTTTGACATCTTTTACACCTCTTACGCTCCGATGGGATAATACTTTATTTACTTTATCAAGTCTGAATTTGTTCTTGCGTCATAGTAGCTCCGTTAGTAGCAACAATGACAGATATTAGGACAATAAACAAGGAAACAGACATAAAAAAATGCCATTAAAATCACTGCAGACAACATGTTTAAGGCCCTTTAATGACATTTGATCTGGGATTAAACTCCATATTTAATTTGAGGACTAACTGGTGCATCAAACAGTGTTTCAGTCACCTTGTTTTTTATTTTAACGTTTAAAAAAAACCATTACAAAACAAAGTGGTAATGAAAGGGAATTGATGGAGAGACTGACCTGCTGAACGTTGCCATAGAGAGCAGCCTCTTCGGGGATCGCCATGACGATGCACGGGTACGGCATGTAATTGGCTAACAGAGCCTCAATGTGATTGGTCCATCTCTTTGCCACGGCGATGAGCTGCTGCGGACAGGAAGTGTTCTCTTCGCTGGAGGTCACTTTCTGGAAATGCTGCAAAATGGTCGCCATCTAACGGGAGGACATTTGTGTTTAAAGACGTGGGAGGAAACGTTTTAAAGATCTCCTATCATTCTATTTTTAGGCAATATGTTGCTCAGAATTCTACCGACAGATACTAAGCTAAATGCTGCCGTGATCAAACTCCATATCATGTTCCAAACCACTTCAAGGATTATTTCTGACACAGTATGGAGCTCAAGGGTTACCTTGGTTGTTGATTGGCTAATGGTTACACAAGACAACACATTGTCATGACATCATAAAGTGGCCAAAATCTGATCAGCTCATTTTCAGACAGGTTTTTATAAAAATGGATCAGGACAAAAAGAGAGAGAATCTTTGTTCCTGAAACTTTCAGAGTCTCTTTCCACAGAGGGGACACATGTTGATGAAGAAGAGACATGAAGAAGAGGGGACACATGGTGATGAAGAAGAGACATGAAGAAGAGGGGACACATGTTGATGAAGAAGAGACATGAAGAAGAGGGGACACATGTTGATGTAGAAAAGAAATGAAGAAGAGGGGACACATGTTGATGAAGAAGAGACATGAAGAAGAGGGGACACATGTTGATGAAGAAGAGACATGAAGAAGAGGGGACACATGTTGATGTAGAAGAGACATGAAGAAGAGGGGACACATGTTGATGTAGAAAAGAAATGAAGAAGAGGGGACACATGTTGATGTAGAAGAGACATGAAGAAGAGGGGACACATGTTGATGTAGAAGAGACATGAAGAAGAGGGGACACATGTTGATGTAGAAGAGACATGAGGAAGAGGGGACACATGTTGATGTAGAAGAGACATGAAGAAGAGGGGACACATGTTGATGTAGAAGAGACATGAAGAAGAGGGGACACATGTTGATGTAGAAGAGACATGAAGAATGAGGGGACACATGTTGATGTAGAAGAGACATGGAGGAAGAGGGGTGACACATGTTGATGTAGAAGAGACATGAAGAAGAGGGACACATGTTGATGAAGAAGAAGAGACATGAAGAAGAGGGGACACATGTTGATGAAGAAGAGACATTGAAGAAGAGGGGACACATGTTGATGTAGAAGAGACATGAAGAAGAGGGGACACGTGTTGATGTAGAAGAGACATGAAGAAGAGGGGACACATGTTGATGTAGAAGAGACATGAAGAAGAGGGGACAACGTGTTGATGTAGAAGAGACCTGAAGAAGAGGGGACACATGTTGATGTAGAAGAGACATGAAGAAGAGGGGACACATGTTGATGAAGAAGAGACATGAAGAAGAGGGGACACATGGTGATGAAGAAGAGACATGAAGAAGAGGGGACACATGTTGATGAAGAAGAGACATGAAGAAGAGGGGACACATGTTGATGTAGAAAAGAAATGAAGAAGAGGGGACACATGTTGATGAAGAAGAGACATGAAGAAGAGGGGACACATGTTGATGAAGAAGAGACATGAAGAAGAGGGGACACATGTTGATGTAGAAGAGACATGAAGAAGAGGGGACACATGTTGATGTAGAAAAGAAATGAAGAAGAGGGGACACATGTTGATGTAGAAGAGACATGAAGAAGAGGGGACACATGTTGATGTAGAAGAGGACATGAAGAAGAGGGGACACATGCTGATGTAGAAGAGACATGAGGAAGAGGGGACACATGTTTGATGTAGAAGAGACATGAAGAAGAGGGGACACATGTTTGATGTAGAAGAGACATGAAGAAGAGGGGACACATGTTGATGAAGAAGAGACATGAAGAAGAGGGGACACATGTTGATGTAGAAGAGACATGAGGAAGAGGGGACACATGTTGATGTAGAAGAGACACGAAGAAGAGGGGAACCATGTTGATGTAGAAGAGACATGAAGAAGAGGGGACACATGTTGATGTAGAAGAGACATGAAGAAGAGGGGACACATGTTGATGTAGAAGAGACATGAGGAAGAGGGGACACATGTTGATGTAGAAGAGACATGAAGAAGAGGGGACACATGTTGATGAAGAAGAAGAGACATGAAGAAGAGGGGACACATGTTGATGAAGAAGAGACATGAAGAAGAGGGGACACATGTTGATGTAGAAGAGACATGAAGAAGAGGGGACAACGTGTTGATGTAGAAGAGACATGAAGAAGAGGGGACACATGTTGATGTAGAAGAGACATGAAGAAGAGGGGACACGTGTTGATGTAGAAGAGACATGAAGAAGAGGGGACACATGTTGATGTAGAAGAGACATGAAGAAGAGGGGACACATGTTGATGTAGAAGAGACATGAAGAAGAGGGGACAACATGTTGATGAAGAAGAGACATGAAGAAGAGGGGACACGTGTTGATGTAGAAGAGACATGAAGAAGAGGGGACACGTGTTGATGTAGAAGAGACATGAAGAAGAGGGGACACATGTTGATGTAGAAGAGACATGAGGAAGAGGGGACACATGTTGATGTAGAAGAGACATGAAGAAGAGGGGACACGTGTTGATGAAGAAGAGACATGAAGAAGAGGGGACACATGTGGATGTAGAAGAGACATGAAGAAGAGGGGACACGTGTTGATGTAGAAGAGACATGAAGAAGAGGGGACACATGTTGATGTAGAAGAGACATGAAGAAGAGGGGACACATGTTGATGTAGAAGAGACATGGAGAAGAGGATTTTGTGTAATAGGTGACCTTTAAAGTTTAGGATATTAATGTTCGTCACCTGATCTGGAGCAAGAGTGAAGAGCTGGTCGGCCTCGTCCAGCACCAGGTGGTAAAGACGCAGGAACAGGAAACAGTGGCAGGACAGCAGACGCACCAAACTGAAGGGAGTGGTGACCAGCAGCAGGCCTGGAGGGAAATAAAAACAATATCTTTTTAGGGCTGAACTGAATAGAGCGGTTGATGACGTATAAACCCTTTAGTAAGCTGCTGGTTCCTTCGACAAAAAAGCAATGGGATTTCTCCAGAGGATTTTGGAAAAAAGCTGAAAATAATGTCTGTGGAAAACGAACCTGTTTGATGAATGCACGTTTTGTTCAGCCGGATAATCTCCACATGTCTACCCTACTTTTATAATGTTCTAATCATAAATCTAATCTCCAGAAGCTAAATGCTAACGTTATGCTATAAAGGAACTACAGCCGAGTCCAGCAGCACGACTTCAACGTCACGCCAACTTAAGATCCATATTCAAACACACAGATTCTAAATGTTACGAGTTGAAGCGTTTGTTTGAACAGTTTGCAGGAGGCAGGTACTTGCTTTCAAGCAGAACAGGTGCAAACAAACTTAGAGGAGTGTTTACGTGTTCGGCGTAATGACGTACAACGGCCTCCACAACTTCTGTAGTCCTATTCAGCCACTTGGTAACAACCATCGTTTTTCAGACACGTCAACTCTTCAGAAATCACCAGTGGGGTCACTGCTGATGGATTTAATGTCCTAGAACAAAACGTGATCCGTCTCTTCAATGTGTCTCACAGACCTTACTTCCAGATATTTTCCTAAATCCTATGGAGAGATCCCATTGGCTCTGAGACGAGGGAACAGGAAGTGGGGAAATGCTGACTCACTTCCTGGTTTTAGGACTCGTCACTTCACCACTCTATACATACACTAATAATAATAATAATACAACATAAAGTCCAATAGTCAACATTTATAAAAAAAACACATAAATGTAATAATTTGAAAAATTCACGACATGTTTTTAAACATTAAAAAGCTGGATAAAAGCTTTCAAATGTAAGAAAATCCATCCGAAATGGTATGAAGATTTAGGATAGGATAATCTCACGTATTAACAAATAATTGCATGTGGGGATTTATGTACACAATATTATTAATTTGTTATTACTGCACATATTTTGTTCCATTCTATTTCAATGTAAATACTTCTATATTTTACTGTATTTTTTAAATATATATATATATATTTTTTTAAGTGTGGGAGTATTATACTACCGACTCAGTCTGACCTTGAAAGACTGGTGGCCCTGATAACTCCCTTGTTTTCACCGTTAATCTAGCATGTTTGTACTTGTCCACTCTACGGAGATAGAGAGGCCAAAACATGCAGTTTAAAATATGTTTTAATGATAATATAGTTTTCTTAAAATAGTTCTCTATCTGTGTTTTACATTTTTGTTTTACTTGTATGTATGCACCACGACATCAAGTCAAATTCCTCGTACGTGTCAACCTACCTGGTGATAAACCTGTTTCTGATTTTCTGACACAATTTCATGAAAGTGGAGTCGTTAGCCGACTGAAAAGAGACGGTGTTCTGCTCACAGTTTTTGGGGATCCTGACGGCCTTTGCCTCGTCTTTCCCGACGCCCAGCAGCAAAGTGTAGGGGTGGAGAACGGATTTGAGCTTCATCTCCTCCAGAAGCTCCATCATCACCATCACTTTCTCCCAGCCCGGACACAGCAGCACCGCCATGGGCTGGAAATCAACACAAATCAGACATAAGATAGTCATTTAGAGACATTTTAAAGTGTACAGTGTTGATGAAGAAGAGACATGAAGAAGAGGGGACACATGTTGATGTAGAAGAGACATGAAGAAGAGGGGACACATGTTGATGTAGAAGAGACATGAAGAAGAGGGGACACATGTTGATGTAGAAGAGACATGAAGAAGAGGGGACACATGTTGATGTAGAAGAGACATGAAGAAGAGGGACCATGTTGATGTAGAAGAGACATGAAGAAGAGGGGGACACATGTTGATGTAGAAGAGACATGAAGAAGAGGGGACACATGTTGATGTAGAAGAGACATGACGAAGAGGGGACACATGTGATGTAGAGAGACATGAAGAAGGGGGGACACATGTTGATGTAGAAGAGACATGAAGAAGAGGGGACACATGTTGATGTAGAAGAGACATGAAGAAGAGGAGACACATGATGATGTAGAAGAGACATGAAGAAGAGGGGACACATGTTGATGTAGAAGAGACATGAAGAAGAGGGGACACATGTTGATGTAGAAGAGACATGAAGAAGAGGGGACACGTGATGTAGAAGAGACATGAGGAAGAGGGGACACGTGATGTAGAAGAGACATGAAGAAGAGGAGACACATGATGTAGAAGAGACATGAAGAAGAGGACACATGTTGATGTAGAAGAGACATGAAGAAGAGGGGACACATGATGTAGAAGAGACATGAAGAAGAGGAGACACATGTTGATGTAGAAGAGACATGAAGAAGAGGAGACACATGATGTAGAAGAGACATGAAAAGAAGAGAGGACACATGTTGATGTAGAAGAGACATGAAGAAGAGGGGACACATGTTGATGTAGAAGAGACATGAAGAAGAGGGGACACATGATGTAGAAGAGACATGAGGAAGAGGGGACACGTGATGTAGAAGAGACATGAAGAAGAGGAGACACATGATGATGTAGAAGAGACATGAAGAAGAGGGGACACATGTTGATGTAGAAGAGACATGAAGAAGAGGGGACACATGTTGATGTAGAAGAGACATGAAGAAGAGGGGACACATGATGTAGAAGAGACATGAAGAAGAGGGGACACATGTTGATGTAGAAGAGACATGAAGAAGAGGGGACACATGTTGATGTAGAAGAGACATGAAGAAGAGGGGACACATGTTGATGTAGAAGAGACATGAAGAAGAGGGGACACATGTTGATGTAGAAGAGACATGAAAGAAGAGGGGACACATGATGTAGAAGAGACATGAGGAAGAGGGGACACGTGATGTAGAAGAGACATGAAGAAGAGGAGACACATGATGTAGAAGAGACATGAAGAAGAGGAGACACATGTTGATGTAGAAGAGACATGAAGAAGAGGGGACACATGTTGATGTAGAAGAGACATGAAGAAGAGGGGACACATGTTGATGTAGAAGAGACATGAAGAAGAGGGGACACATGTTGATGTAGAAGAGATGAAGAAGAGGGGACACATGTTGATGTAGAAGAGACATGAAGAAGAGGAGACACATGTTGATGTAGAAGAGACATGAAGAAGAGGGGACACATGTTGATGTAGAAGAGACATGAAGAAGAGGGGACACATGGATGTAGAAGAGACATGAAGAAGAGGGGACACATGTTGATGTAGAAGAGACATGAAGAAGGGGGGACACATGTTGATGTAGAAGAGACATGAAGAAGAGGGGACACATGTTGATGTAGAAGAGACATGAAGAAGAGGAGACACATGATGATGTAGAAGAGACATGAAGAAGAGGGGACACATGTTGATGTAGAAGAGACATGAAGAAGAGGGGACACATGTTGATGTAGAAGAGACATGAAGAAGAGGGGACACGTGATGTAGAAGAGACATGAGGAAGAGGGGACACGTGATGTAGAAGAGACATGAAGAAGAGGAGACACATGATGTAGAAGAGACATGAAGAAGAGGGGACACATGTTGATGTAGAAGAGACATGAAGAAGAGGGGACACATGTTGATGTAGAAGAGACATGAAGAAGAGGGACACATGTTGATGTAGAAGAGACATGAAGAAGAGGGGACACATGATGTAGAAGAGACATGAAGAAGAGGAGACACATGTTGATGTAGAAGAGACATGAAGAAGAGGAGACACATGATGATGTAGAAGAGACATGAAGAAGAGAGGACACATGTTGATGTAGAAGAGACATGAAGAAGAGGGGACACATGTTGATGTAGAAGAGACATGAAGAAGAGGGGACACATGATGTAGAAGAGACATGAGGAAGAGGGGACACGTGATGTAGAAGAGACATGAAGAAGAGGGGACACATGTTGATGTAGAAGAGACATGAAGAAGAGGAGACACATGATGATGTAGAAGAGACATGAAGAAGAGGGGACACATGTTGATGTAGAAGAGACATGAAGAAGAGGGGACACATGTTGATGTAGAAGAGACATGAAGAAGAGGGGACACATGATGTTGATGTAGAAGAGACACATGGTGATGAGAAGAGACATGAAGAAGAGGGAACACATGTTGATGTAGAAGAGACATGAAGAAGAGGGGGACACATGTTGATGTAGAAGAGACATGAAGAAGAGGGGGACACATGATGTAGAAGAGGACATGAGGAAGAGGGGACCACGTGATGTAGAAGAGACATGAAGAAGAGGAGACACATGATGTAGAAGAGACATGAAGAAGAGGAGACACATGTGATGTAGAAGAAGACATGAAGAAGAGGGGACACATGGTGATGTAGAAGAGACATGAAGAAGAGGGGACAACATGTTGATGTAGAAGAGACTGAAGAAGAGGGGACACATGCTGATGTAGAGAGGACATGAAGAAGAGGGGACACATGTTGATGTAGAAGAGACATGAAGAAGAGGGGACACATGTTGATGTAGAGAGACATGAAGAAGAGGGGACACATGATGTAGAAGAGACATGAAGAAGAGGGGACACATGTTGATGTAGAAGAGACATGAAGAGAGGGACACATGTTGATGTAGAAGAGACATGAAGAAGAGGGGACACATGATGTAGAAGAGACATGAAGAAGAGGAGACACATGTTGATGTAGAAGAGACATGAAGAAGAGGAGACACATGTTGATGTAGAAGAGACATGAACAAGTGGATTGTGCACAATAGGTGACCTTTAAAACTAGCCACTTTGTCCAATGCATTTAGAGATGTTCTCACCCCTGCGCTGGAGGTGACGGCGGTGTAGATGGAGTTGAGCACCATGTGTGTGAGCAGCGGAGCGATGTAGCTGATCGGCTGCTCTGCGTTGGGCGAGATGATGACGGTGTGGCAGCCTCGAGCCACGGAGGGCCAGCTGTAGCGCTGAGCTGGAGTCAAAACGCTGCCCTGCTTCTTCTTCAAAACCTACAAACACAACGCCGTCATTTGTGAAACTCTGAAGGAGCTTAGACATCCAACTGTCCACCACTTAAAGGTCTCCTATTATACTATTTGTAGGCATATATTATAGGTCTCAGATATATATACAAAACATGTCGATGAAGTGTTCCCCACAGGATCAATTTGGGGTGAAGTGTCTCAGGGACACAACGAAATGCTGACTGCAGTGGGGTTTGAACCTGTGCTCCCCTGATCACAACACCAACGCACTAGTGCACTGCGCCACACGCCTCCCTATATCCCTATATTATGTTCCAAACATCAAGGATTATTTCTGAAACAGTATGGAGCTCAAACTCTTTTTCTCTCAGGTTTACCACAAGGTGATTTCCTTTTTTTATTTCCTGCTTCTTTACACACATGCTCTCCAGTACAGGTTAGCTCTGAGTGTTAGCGATGCTAATGTAAACAAAGACCATATTACGTCCAAAACAGTCTGGCATTGTTTCTGATAGCAACGTTTCTGATTGGGCCGTGGGTCCACATTTCAGATATTACGTCATATCGGCAGCAAATCTGGATCAGCTCCGTTGTTCCCCCGTTTCTAGAGATGTGGGTACTACCTAGTGGTACAAAAGAGCATTTTGCATGACAGGACACCTTTAACCTGTTACGCACGGCCCCCCCAGTACCGGGCTCTAACGGTCAGAAAGAGGTGTCAACCATCAAAATCGAGCAAGGGGATATAGAAAAAAAACCCATTTTCACCCAAATCACCTCCGAGGTGGGATGGTTTTGGCTAAATCTCTCTAAAAAGGTCAAATGTCACTTGTTTTGCATCAATCTTGATACAGGGTACTTATTATATGTTGTACTTTGGATTCCTAAAGCTTTTAGTCTACTAACCCATCATCCAAGGGTAGTTTTCACTATCTGTAAAAAATAATTTTTGGACGGACATTATAATTTACAGTTTTTTACTATGTAAAATCTGAATTTTCTTTAAAATAAAAAACATCTATATTGATTCTGACACTTCTTCATCCAACTCACAGATGTAACCTTGCTTTGATAAAATAAATTATTCATATAACCCTTTTAGAAGTTAAGTTGTAGTCATTTGTTTTGGGCATGTCATTTTCGAGCCTGAAACATGAAAAACAGGCTCGGTGCTTAACAGGTTAAAGCCCATATGTGTTGAATGACGCCATGTATCAGTGATTACATTTTGACATGACACCAACGCAGGACCCTAAGCCCCTCTCTCTAATGATCAAATTACATTTTTTGTGCTTTTTCTACTATTTGGACTATCTGTGTTATATGTAAGTACAAACAGCCTGAAACTAAAAGTAAGAGCACGTTATATTTTACCCAGCGGAGAGAGTCTGTGATGGGGGCGTCGTCCAGGCTGCTGCAGGGCTCCACTGGGAACAAGGAGTGCACCAGGATCCCACTCCTCCTGGGATCACTGGGAACAAACTGAGGACAAGGAGAAATATAGGAGACGTAAATATGGTTGTTTTCTGTTGGGAAAATACTGAATGTTCTCTTCCAATATGAGAGTACACAGTCACAAGATGGAGGAATAGAAAGCAGTATTCAATGTTTACTTCAGATTAGCTCCACGTCAGAAATGATCATGCTTGTCATATGTCTATCTCCATAGAGGCTGAATCATCATGTTCATCACATAGCTATCATATGCCTCAAACAGTCCTGATGCTCTTCTAGGTAATCACACATCCTGTCATGTACACAGCTACAGTTGGGATACCTTTGTTAGCATGCTACTCTCACATTGGAAGAGGACATTCACTATTTTCCCAACACTAAACCATTTGGTACTTTATGTTTAATTTGTAATATTTTGATAAACAACTCACCGCGTCATGTGCCGTGTCAGATTGAGGGTTCACAGGCTCAGGGTTCAACCACTCCAAAAGGCTGCATCAAACACAACAGTCAGAATGAGGAAACGTTGGATATTAATGTAAAAACAAAAACACAACAAATTCACATTTCTACCTCCGAAGATGCAGAAGCAAACTCACCAGACATGTTTTGCCTTGGATGACATTCAACAGTTTCTCTTTTCACAATCATTCTACTTTTTCAATTAAGGATTGCAGGGGGTTACAAAGATAAGGGATTGCAATTCATTTCCACACAAAAAACAGTTCTAAATAAATGTTCATAATCCTGGTGTTCTGCCACGATAACTATCACAGTTTATGAAAGACAAGCAAGCTTAAAGTGGACCTATCATGCTATATTTGAATAATATAGTGTAGGACCATACCTATATAAGGCATATTTATACTTTATTTTTTCAAAATACCAAACAGATCATGCATTTTAGCCATGCCTCATTTTGCTCAATTTGACAATTTCTAGCTCTGTTTTTGCAAGGGCAGATTCAGTGAGAACAGCACCACCTACATGCCTGGCATATGTACTACAGCGTCTCCAGCGCTTTTGAACGGCAATGGCCGTGGCTGTCTCCTCCTGATTGGTGGAGTTGGCCCAATAGCCGTAGCGCCACCGTCCTGACGTCAGGACAGTGTTCAAATCTGGATCAGTTTTTATCAGATCCGTTGCAGCCCCTTTTTTAGAGATTTGGGTATGGAGGTAAATAGAGAGGGTTGTGTTTTCTGACACTTGGTGAGTTCCCTGGAACACCGGGGACACATATTCATGTAGAAAAGACGTACACAAGTGCATTTTGCATGATAGGTCCCCTTTAAGTGTCTCAACACTGAATAAAGTAGTTTCTTCAGTTCGGCGCTGCTAACCGAGCTCGCTCAGCTTGTTGCTCTGATAACTTAAGATCCAGAAGTCCGTGACTAAAATCCTTCATCCGGTTAAATATAGTTAAAGAAATACCAATTGTATAGCATTAAAGTTCAAGAAAGTATTTTCTTCAATTCCTGTATTTTTTTTCATATCGCAATATATATCGTAGGGGAAGAAAATATCGCAATGTCAGTTTTTTCCAATATCGTGCAGCCCTAGGTTGTCGTATTAGGAATAACATTTGAATATGAGTGTCTGAGTAAACATCTTTGCCTCATTACTCAGCATATATGTGTGTTTGTTTCCTCAGCTCACCGCGAACAAGCCCAGTCCGTTTCACTCCTCCACCTTTTCTCCTCTGATCTACTCCACCTGCTGAAACAAACAATGAAAACAGCGCAGACACAAAATTGTACTTTCCACCTGTGTGTCTGTGTGTGTGTGAGAGTGAGTGAGTGAGTGAGTGAGTGAGTGAGTGAGTGAGTGAGTGTGTGTGTGTGCGAGAGTGTGAGAGAGCGAGTGTGTGTGAGAGAGAGCGAGAGAGAGAGAGAGAGAGAGAGCAGTGTTTCCCACAGATCTGAAATATACTTGGGGGGGTGGTGGTAGCGGGGGGGATGGGGGGGGGGTTGAGGTAACGTACCTTTGTGACGTGCAACAACAACATTAACATTAACCTTTCTGTTGGTCGCTTGTTAGCAGACCCTTCACGCGATGGCAGAGCGAACAGGTACAGGCAGGGCCCATAGTGATAGCCCTATAGTTTAAATCCACAAATAAACATATGGACATGGGTTACTATTTCAAAAAAATGGTAAATGTATTTAGGAACCCGTCCATGTGATTTTAAGTGGGGGTGGACCTCAAATCCTCCAGGGGGGTCCGGGGGCATGCTCCCCCGGTAAGATTTTTCTTTTAATTTTGGAGTTAAATGCATCAATCTGGTGCACTTTGAGGGGGAAAGAAAGAGATCTATGGGAACACCTATATGAAACAGAACTGTATACATTTCAATAATCATAAATTCATGGCCATAACCAATAACATACCATTTCCAATATGAAAAAACACTGAAACTTGTTTATTTATTTTTGGTTTATTTATAGTTGCGAGTGTGTCTGGGCTCCTGAACCAGCCTCCCCCCCTCTCCCCCTCTGGATAATAACACGGGAGAAATGAGCGGAAGCGCTCTCTTTTCCTCTCTCTCTCTCTCTCTCTCCTGACAGCCCGGCAGTATCTCCTGAAGCTCACTGATCCAGTAATGAGTGACCCGACAGGGAAGAATAAATATATGTATAACTAGTTTAGCTTGTTCCAGAGGTAGATAAAATAGCTAAGTGTGTTAGGTCTAACTCTTAATGTGTGTTCTGCTCCGCTCACCGGTCCGTCACAGCGGGTGGAGCTGCAGGATTTCTGCTTCACACATGTTGCATACCGCTATTTTATTAGCCGCGTTCACACCGCAGTACTTTTCCCACTTTAGTTCCGATATAGTTCCGAAATGTCGCGTTCACACCAAAAAGAGCCGGAACTAAAATGAGTTCATGAGAACCTTTTTACCCCCTTTTCCGTCCCTGCAAGAGAGCAGGTACATTCGTGGGAGAAAAAGGTTCCTATGTCTGATTGGCTGGGCGGATTGCAAACCACGGCTCGTAAAACTCCCAAAAAGTTTTGTGAAGCCGCCATTCCCAAACTCCGGGGACTTCGGGTGGCAGTATACGCCGTGAAGTTGTTTGCGGCCTGCCAGTAAACCCGAAGCAGAAGAAGAAGAAGTGACGTCAGCGGCTTCATTTGCCTAATCCTTCCCCAGGAACTTATTCCGGTGTGAACGCGATCTGTACTTAGTTCATGAGAACTAAAGAGTTCGGATGAACTAAGTTCTGATGAACCTTTGTGGGAAAAGTACTGGAGCATCCCTAATAAATGGTGACCAAACCGTTTGAGACCCACTGAGAACTTAGACTAAGTTAACTATCTAAACACTCAGAGAGTCCTTTACCTCACCTGAGCTGACGTTATCCCGAGCTTGAATGACACAGAGAGACCAATCAAGGGCTTTGATTTATGATCTGTATGACAGTGGCCATGTCGGCAGGCCACATCATGTAGACAGCCAGTCACCCTGTGTGAGGCAGGCCACATCATGTAGACAGCCAGTCACCCTGTGTGAGGCAGGCCACATCATGTAGACAGCCAGTCACCCTGTGTGAGGCAGACCACATCATGTAGACAGCCAGTCACCCTGTGTGAGGCAGACCACATCATGTAGACAGCCAGTCACCCTGTGTGAGGCAGACCACATCATGTAGACAGCCAGTCACCCTGTGTGAGGCAGGCCACATCATGTAGACAGCCAGTCACCCTGTGTGAGGCAGGCCACATCATGTAGACAGCCAGTCACCCTGTGTGAGGCAGGCCACATCATGTAGACAGCCAGTCACCCTGTGTGAGGCAGACCACATCATGTAGACAGCCAGTCACCCTGTGTGAGGCAGGCCACATCATGTAGACAGCCAGTCACCCTGTGTGAGGCAGGCCACATCATGTAGACAGCCAGTCACCCTGTGTGAGGCAGGCCACATCATGTAGACAGCCAGTCACCCTGTGTGAGGCAGGCCACATCATGTAGACAGCCAGTCACCCTGTGTGAGGCAGACCCACATCATGTAGACAGCCAGTCACCCTGTGTGAGGCAGACCACTGAACAGGCCAGGCCATCGGGAAACCCCCCGGTCCTCCCGATGGCCAGTCCGGGACTAGAGTAGTAGAGCGTGGACCATTGTCCACAAGTTAATCGATCGCAGATGGCGTCGTGGTCGAGGACGAAGAAAAAAAAAAGATTATTTAAAAAAGAAAACCCTGGAGTGAGAGTGTGTGTTGTTTTTTTTAGACCAAAGTTGTTATAAACGTATAATATAATAAAACTTGTTTTCTCTTAAAGGTCAGTGTGTGTGTGTGTGTGTGTGTGTGTGTGTGTGTGTGTGTGTGTGTGTGTGTGTGTGTGTGTGTGTGTGAGAGAGTTCCCGTTAGCCGGTAATTACCGGACTATGACCGGTAAAATATGCTGAAGACCGGCAAATCTAAATCTCTCCGGTCAAAATGTCCGGTCAAAATAATTTTCCCTTAGCGCAATACTGCATCAGTTGCACCACTTATGTGACAGACAAGAAGAGTATGTGACAGACAAAAATAGTATGTGACAGACAAGAAGAGTATGTGAAAGACAAGAAGAGTACGTGACAGACAAGAATAGTATGTGACAGACAAGAAGAGTATGTGAAAGACAAGAAGAGTACGTGACAGACAAGAATAGTATGTGACAGACAAGAAGAGTATGTGAAAGACAAGAAGAGTATGTGACAGACAAGAAGAGTACGTGACAGACAAGAATAGTATGTGACAGACAAGAAGAGTATGTGAAAGACAAGAAGAGTACGTGACAGACAAGAAGAGTATGTGACAGACAAGAATAGTATGTGAAAGACAAGAAGAGTACGTGACAGACAAGAAGAGTATGTGACAGACAAGAATAGTATGTGAAAGACAAGAAGAGTACGTGACAGACAAGAAGAGTATGTGAAAGACAAGAAGAGTACGTGACAGACAAGAAGAGTACGTGACAGACAAGAATAGTATGTGAAAGACAAGAAGAGTACGTGACAGACAAGAAGAGTATGTGAAAGACAAGAAGAGTACGTGACAGACAAGAATAGTATGTGACAGACAAGAAGAGTATGTGACAGACAAGAAGAGTATGTGAAAGACAAGAAGAGTACGTGACAGACAAGAATAGTATGTGACAGACAAGAAGAGTATGTGACAGACAAGAAGAGTATGTGAAAGACAAGAAGAGTATGTGACAGACAAGAAGAGTATGTGACAGACAAGAAGAGTACGTGAAAGACAAGAAGAGTACGTGACAGACAAGAATAGTATGTGACAGACAAGAAGAGTATGTGAAAGACAAGAAGAGTATGTGACAGACAAGAAGAGTATGTGAAAGACAAGAAGAGTATGTGACAGACAAGAATAGTATGTGACAGACTAAAGAGTATGTGACAGACAAGAAGAGTATGTGACAGACAAGAAGAGTATGTGACAGACAAGAATAGTATGTGACAGACAAGAAGAGTGTGTGACAGACAAGAAGAGTACGTGAAAGACAAGAAGAGTACGTGACAGACAAGAATAGTATGTGACAGACAAGAAGAGTATGTGAAAGACAAGAAGAGTATGTGACAGACAAGAAGAGTATGTGAAAGACAAGAAGAGTATGTGACAGACAAGAATAGTATGTGACAGACTAAAGAGTATGTGACAGACAAGAATAGTATGTGACAGACAAGAAGAGTATGTGAAAGACAAGAAGAGTATGTGACAGACAAGAAGAGTATGTGACAGACAAGAATAGTATGTGACAGACAAGAAGAGTATGTGAAAGACAAGAATAGTATGTGACAGACAAGAAGAGTATGTGACAGACAAGAAGAGTACGTGAAAGACAAGAAGAGTACGTGACAGACAAGAATAGTATGTGACAGACAAGAAGAGTATGTGAAAGACAAGAAGAGTATGTGACAGACAAGAAGAGTATGTGACAGACAAGAAGGGTACGTGAAAGACAAGAAGAGTACGTGACAGACAAGAATAGTATGTGACAGACAAGAAGAGTATGTGAAAGACAAGAAGAGTATGTGACAGACAAGAAGAGTATGTGAAAGACAAGAAGAGTATGTGACAGACAAGAATAGTATGTGACAGACTAAAGAGTATGTGACAGACAAGAATAGTATGTGACAGACAAGAAGAGTATGTGAAAGACAAGAAGAGTATGTGACAGACAAGAAGAGTATGTGACAGACAAGAATAGTATGTGACAGACAAGAAGAGTATGTGAAAGACAAGAATAGTATGTGACAGACAAGAAGAGTATGTGACAGACAAGAAGAGTATGTGAAAGACAAGAAGAGTATGTGAAAGACAAGAAGAGTATGTGACAGACAAGAAGAGTATGTGACAGACAAGAATAGTATGTGACAGACAAGAAGAGTATGTGAAAGACAAGAATAGTATGTGACAGACAAGAAGAGTATGTGACAGACAAGAAGAGTATGTGACAGACAAGAAGAGTATGTGAAAGACAAGAAGAGTATGTGACAGACAAGAATAGTATGTGACAGACAAGAAGAGTGTGTGACAGACAAGAAGAGTATGTGACAGACAAGAAGAGTCATTCTAATGTCTAACACGTGGAGAAAGAGTGTCCTGTATGGGTTGATTGTGCGTTGATCTGTTGGTAATGCCTCTGGGTTCCGGTGGGCATGTAAACAAATGCATAATGCTGCGCTATACTTTGTGGCCTCACCCCGTTGCATAGCGACGCTTATTGTTTAGGTGTCTTTTAATAAGCAGGTAGTCATATCATTAGCTAGAAGAACTAGCTAGATCTGATCGATATGGACATAAACGCGAGTGAAGTCTAATCTGACGGGAGAGAGAGATCAGCTGCTGCTGACGAGTCGACACGCAGCTCTGCATGATCACCTGCAGCGGTGAGCGGAGCAACACACACACTTCAGGTTAGAGTATCACGTAGCTATTTTTAATGACCTCTCAAACTACCTAAACTAGTTATAGATATGTTTAGTTTTAATCGGGTCACTCATTACTGGATCCGCGAGCTGCATGATACTGACGGGCTGTCAGGAGAAGGAGAGAGCGCTCCGTTTATTATTCCCGCGTTTTTGTAAATTACTGTACACTTTTGAATAATGTAGTTAATCTACTATAATTAGTTTAATATCGAATCATATCAATTTGTTTTAAAGCTCAATAAATAACAAAGAAGACCTTTGACCGGCACTTTTCTCATTTTGTCCGGAAGATTTCAACTTTAACGGACATGTTGACCGGCAAAAAGATATTCTAACGGGAACTCTGGTGTGTGTGTGTGTGTGTGTGTGTGTGTGTGTGATTTATCTAGATTACATTGACACTCATATCTACACGCTGTAATGTTACGTAGACATGGGTTAAATGTTGGGAAGAAGTGCGGATCATTTATTCCTTTTACCTTGTTCCTTCGTCTTCAATACATTCAACCTGACTGCTCTCACAAAGACCTTCAGCTCCACTTTGCTCACTAATAAAAAACAAGACAAGACAAGCAATGCAGTTAATAACATCTGATCTTGATATTTACAGCTCAATTAACTGTGATTTACATTTCAAAGTGATAAAGGGTGCATCAGTCTCACCTCATGCTGGTCAAGTCGTGCGTGTGCAGAGTCTCAGGCTCACAGTTTAAAGGGGTTAATCTGTGGGACAAAATACAATTATCAAAAAGCAATATCTCCCTCTTACTCTCGACGGGAGCCCTCAAACCAAAATGCAGATTTCCCCCGTAAAATGTTAAAGTGATGCCGGAAAACAATATCTCTGTTCCTCAGAAACTGTATAATGACTCCAGAAATCTGAGTATCAAGCAGAGCGTCAGACGGCAGAGACAGCTTTGTTTTTACAGAGCTCCGACGTCACGTTGTTGTTTACGTCCACGGCGCCATCTTGTTTACGGGCGCCATGTTATTGTGAGAATTGATATATCTTATAAACAAGATCAGAGTCAAAGTACTCATACTATATATTTCTAGAACAACCCTGGGTCTGCTAACTCAAGTTATATAAAAAACAAAATTGTTATCTTATTCATTTAAAGTGGACCTATCGTGCTATATTTGAATAATATAGTGTAGGACCATACCTATATAAGGCATATTTATACTTTTTTTTCTTCAAAATACCAAACAGATCATGCATTTTAGCCATGCCTCATTTTGCTCAATTTGACAATCTTCTAGCTCTGTTTTAGCTCTGGGCTGATTCAGTGAGAACAGCACCATCTACTGGCCTGGCATATGTACTACAGCGTCTCCAGCGCTTTCGAACGGCAATGGCCGTGGCTGTCTCCTCCTGATTGGTGGAGTTGGCCCAATAGCCGTAGCGCCACCGTCCTGACGTCAGGACAGTGTTCAAATCTGGATCAGTTTTTATCAGATCCGTTGCAGCCCCTTTTTTAGAGATTTGGGTATGGAGGAAAATAGAGAGGGTTGTGTTTTCTGACACTTGGTGAGTTCCCTGGAACACCGGGGACACATATTCATGTAGAAAAGACGTACAAAAGTGCATTTTGCATGATAGGTCCCCTTTAAGATTTAAGCCCGATACGTTCTGGATTTATTTCTAAAGGGAAGGTGGAGGTACTCAACAACCGACCAGACCTAAAATATGGAGTGTGGACTTCTACTTGGAGAGGTCCCAGTTCACCTCCTGCCCTGCCGTGGTGCCCTTGAGCAAGGCACCGGACATCCCCCTTCCCCCCCTCACTCCCATTGCTCCCCGGGCGCTGTACAATAGCTGCCCACTGCTCCTAGTACTAGACTCCTGGTACTAGGATGGGTTAAAAGCAGAGAACAAATTTCACTGTGTGTGTGCTGTGTGCTCTGCATGTGAGACCATTAAAGAGGGTTTCATCCCTCCCAATTCTTCTTCTTCTAACTCTCCTGTAATTTAAATTCCATCCAGAGTCACGTCGTAGTAATTTTATGGACTTATTTCAGCAGGAAATGCTTATTTAGTTCCTAATTGGTTCAGTTTGAAATGTAACCTGCAAGTAAAGAGTCAGAAATACATTTGTTAATCTGATAGACGTCAACATCCAGGCATATTTGGGCAGTTGTAATGTCATATGGTATTAGTTTATTGACCTCTATTCTTTTACATTGATCTTTAAAATAAGCTAATTTAGCCGTTCCTGTATGAAGTCTACACGTGGCTTTACAGACAACTATCACTGAGTAGCACTTAGGAAAATGTGTTGATTCTCAGATAAGTTCGGACGTTTTTTTTCCTGTGATCCATACATGAATATATAGGAGGCTTTTATTTCTGTGTGATAAGATTTCACTGCTTATTTAGTATGTTTGCCCTAAATCTTGCCTCTCCTGTTTAACTCCAACACCCCCTCTTGAAGGCTTTTGTCTTTGTTCTGCTGACGTCTATGTTTTTACAGACTTTATCCTGTCGTGTACCCATGTTAAATGCTTTCTGAGGAGCACAGTGAATATTTGACTCCCTAATTGTGTTGATTTCGTTGACTTTTAAAACTATGACGAAATATGTTCATCAACGACTAAGACGAGACGGCACCGACGTCAGAAAACAATAACTGTAACAAAATCAACATGGAATATCGTTGACGAAAATTGACTGTAGTTTACTAAATAAAAACTTTGCGAAAAAGTCTAACGCCACCACCACCACTGCCTGGGAGAAAGAAACAAGGTGATTTTTCGCTCAATGAGGCGGAGAAAAAAAGCGAATGCATTGTTTTATCAGAAGGGAAGCATTGTGGCCATAACACAGGTACAACACCACAAACCTGACCAGCTCTGCAAAGCTGCTTTCTTAATCATTCAACCTGTGTTTTTCATCAAATACGGACAAGGTATAATCTTATTGTGAAATAAGTTTGACTAAAATGACAAATTATTGGTTTTGGCTAGACTAGACTAGTTTGACTAAAATGTTCTATATAATCTGATGACTAAAAAAAGAGTCAAATGTCAACAGTTTTCATTAACAAAAAGTAGACTAAAATAGTTAGTTTTCTTTGACTAAAATAAGACTAAAATGCTCAGACTTTGTCGACTAAAACTTGACTAAATAAAAACAGGATGAAGGTGACTAAGGCCCCACTCACACGGGAACGTTTGCGTTTATGCACAGTATGCGTATTCAAAAAAGTCTTCCGTTCACATGCATTCGTTTCATTTAACGTGTCTGTTCAAACGAGACCGCTGGAAACGCTGTAGTACATATGCTGGGACTGTAAGTGGCGCTGTAACTTCCGTTAACAATTCTGGTTTGCCTTTTATAATATTATTTCATTCAAGAACCCCTTGTGCGTTTAATTAACACAGTTATTTTTGATAGTTGCTACAGCAGTGAGCAGGAGAGGTGGGGAGAGGCGGGGCTATCGTTATTTTTTCAGGAAATATTCGTATAGAGGTGATTACACGGACTCGGTTGACCCCCCAGAGCGTTTAGTTTGCAAATCTATCCACCTTGGGACCCGTTATCGTTTGTGGGGTCAGTTTCTATCGGCCTCGTGTAAATAATAGGGCTATACGCACGCGAAACTATGCAGATACAAGCCGTTTTCTCCTCGTGTAAACGGCGCCTAAGTATGACTAAAACTAACAAGGACATTTGACACAGGATTAAGACAACGACTAAATAAAAAAAATAGCTGACAAAATGAACACTACTCCCAAACCACTGTCCGAATGAGCCATTTGTAAATTAGAGTAACTACTAAAGTGCTGGTAGCTTACACTTCCTGTTCTGTGCAGGAGGCTGCAGTCGTCTCTTCAGGTCGACTTTCTTTTTGCTCTTCATGCTCACTCACCTGGGAAAAAACAAACACAGAAACTTCTGGATCTACAGTTTTTTTGTTCAGGAATTACTTACCAAATTGAACAGGTGAAAAAACAACCAGCAACCTGACAACTAGGGGTGGAGGAAATAATCGATAGAGCATAGTATCGCCATACACGGATGCCAAGTATCGATATTTTATTATATAAACCATTCATATTGCAAATCCAAATTACAGTTTTTGGTAACAATTGCTTTTTCAATCCACTAGATGGTGCAGAGCTTTTCTTGTGCGGTCATGGGTAAAGTCAGTGGGATTGGCAGGAAGTTAGTCAGGCGTTGATTTCCAAACTATCCCCTTCAAAGCTGGGCTCAAACACTTCCTGTGTGCGATGTGTACTCACAGTGGGAGACGCCTGCTGGAAGATGCTGCCAGGATTCAGAAACTTTAGGAACCTGTTGGGTAGAGGAAGTGTTCAGTCAGTATCAAACCGTGTTATTAAAACAGATATGGAAGGCGTAATATAGTGTGTGTGTGAAGTTATTCTCACTTGAACAGACTGAGATTTTTGGTCAGAGCTGCAGCCAGAGACGAGTCTGTGTCCTCCGACGAGTCACTGAGCAGGAGAGACGCTCAGTTAACGATTTCAAGATATAAATGAAACTTCCTCTGCAGGAAACACAGGGATTTGCAGACCATTTACATGCACTAAAATCTAGAGAACACACTACGTACACTATGAAGTGTCTCTACTTTAAAGAGTCCTCTCCTGCTGATGTTCAGGTGTATATCAGTATGTAGTGTCTCTGCTTTAAAGAGTCCTCTCCTGCTGATGTTCAGGTCTATATCAGTATGTAGTGTCTCTACTTTAAAGAGTCCTCTCCTGCTGATGTTCAGGTGTATATCAGTATGTAGTGTCTCTACTTTAAAGAGTCCTCTCCTGCTGATGTTCAGGTGTATATCAGTATGTAGTGTCTCTACTTTAAAGAGTCCTCTCCTGCTGATGTTCAGGTGTATATCAGTATGTAGTGTCTCTACTTTAAAGAGTCCTCTCCTGCTGATGTTCAGGTGTATATCAGTCTGTAGTGTCTCTACTTTAAAGAGTCCTCTCCTGCTGATGTTCAGGTGTATATCAGTATGTAGTGTCTCTACTTTAAAGAGTCCTCTCCTGCTGATGTGCAGGTGTATATCAGTATGTAGTGTCTCTACTTTAAAGAGTCCTCTCCTGCTGATGTTCAGGTGTATATCAGTATGTAGTGTCTCTACTTTAAAGAGTCCTCTCCTGCTGATGTTCAGGTGTATATCAGTATGTAGTGTCTCTACTTTAAAGAGTCCTCTCCTGCTGAACTGAACTAAATGAGTGCTCACCTCTCTGCAGGAGCAGCAGCAGCGTCCGGACCTTTCTCTGTGACCTTTGACCCGCTGCCTTCTTCACGGGGCTGCAGCTCATGTTGTTGGCTCTGAAGCAGCAGAGAGGTCAGCGATGAGGATGCGTGGATGTTATCCAGAGGACTGACGGAAACACCGTGAGCAGAGCTGCCGACCTGAGGCGTAGTAAGACCTGAAGAAATAGCTGAAAAAAGAAGCATCAGATCAGAGTTTATATAGAGTATATGTGTGTGTGTGTGTGTCAGCAGGAGACTGGGTGTGTGTGTGTGTTTGCCAGCAGGAGACTGGGTGTGTGTGTGTGTGGGCGATTACCAGCAGGAGACTGTGTGTGTGTGTGTGCCAATAGGAGACTAGGGGTGTGTGTGTGTACCAGTAGGAGACTAGGGGTGTGTGTGTGTGTACCAGTAGGAGACTGGGTGTGTGTGTGTGCGTGTTTACCAGTAGGAGACTAGGGGTAGGGGTGTGTGTGTGTGTGTTTACCAGTAGGAGACTAGGGGTAGGGGTGTGTGTGTGTGTGTGTGTGTGTGTGTGTGTGTGTGTGTGTGTGTGTGTTTACCAGTAGGAGACTTGGTGTGTGCAGTCGGCTTGCTTGAGGCAGTCTGGGTTAAGATGCTGGAGGGCAACATGACAGGAAGCTGGTCCTCCTCGTTCATCTCTCTGCTGTCACCTGACTCTCTGCTGTAATACGCAAACTTCTTGGCCACCAGATCGTCGTTCAAACAGATCTGGAAAGAAATCGCCAAAATCCGGGTGTTTATTCTCCATAACTAAAACATGCAAGCTATGCACAAATCGCACAATGACATATTAGTGAAAACAGACTAAATGATATACAAGAACTGTCAAATATAGCCAGGAATCAGGATGCACTTCCTGTTCCCTGAATTTAAAAACGGCGGTTGCTAACCAGTGTCTATATGAGACGACTTAACGTCTTCACGCCCAACATTAGCCGCCTTTAGCTTAGCTGTGGTGACGTGAAGTCATGTGACCGTGCTGTAGTTCCTTTATAGCCCAACATTAGCCACCTTTAGCTTAGCGGTGGTGACGTGAAGTCATGTGACCGTGCTGTAGTTCCTTTATAGCCCAACATTAGCCACCTTTAGCTTAGCGGTGGTGACGTGAAGTCATGTGACCATGCTGTAGTTCCTTTATAGCCCAACATTAGCCGCCTTTAGCTTAGCTGTGGTGACGTGAAGTCATGTGACCGTGCTGTAGTTCCTTTATAGCCCAACATTAGCCACCTTTAGCTTAGCCGTGTTGACGTGAAGTCATGTGACCGTGCTGTAGTTCCTTTATAGCCCAACATTAGCCACCTTTAGCTTAGCGGTGGTGACGTGAAGTCATGTGACCGCGCTGTAGTTCCTTTATAGTCCAACGTTAGCCACCTTTAGCTTAGCGGTGGTGACGTGAAGTCATGTGACCGCGCTGTAGTTCCTTTATAGCCCAACATTAGCCACCTTTAGCTTAGCGGTGGTGACGTGAAGTCATGTGACCGCGCTGTAGTTCCTTTATAGCCCAACATTAGCCTCCTTTAGCTTAGCGGTGGTGACGTGAAGTCATGTGACCACGCTGTAGTTCCTTTATAGCCCAACATTAGCCACCTTTAGCTTAGCGGTTGTGACGTGAAGTCATGTGACCGTGCTGTAGTTCCTTTATAGCCCAACATTAGCCTCCTTTAGCTTAGCGGTGGTGACGTGAAGTCATGTGACCGTGCTGTAGTTCCTTTATAGCCCAACATTAGCTGCCTTTAGCTTAGCGGTGGTGACGTGAAGTCATGTGACCGTGCTGTAGTTCCTTTATAGCCCAACATTAGCTGCCTTTAGCTTAGCGGTGGTGACGTGAAGTCATGTGACCGTGCTGTAGTTCCTTTATAGCCCAACATTAGCCTCCTTTAGCTTAGCGGTGGTGACGTGAAGTCATGTGACCACGCTGTAGTTCCTTTATAGCCCAACATTAGCTTAGCGGTGGTGACGTGAAGTCATGTGACCGTGCTGTAGTTCCTTTATAGAGAGGCGAAGTCACGCCCATCTACTTCCGCCCCATGGGACCTTATGTCTGAAAAATTATGTATTGAAGTCAATGGAGAGAGAAAACGTATCTTTCGATCCCGTTTGAATTGTGCCATGAATTACACATATGATGTTTGTCAATCTCAAAAAATCATTTCCATGTCAAGAAAGTCAGAGTTTGTCGTAAAACTGTTGAACTATAAGACTATGAAAAATACGCAACTAGAAAGACTACAAATCCCAGAGTCGCGTAAGTGATGTCACAATTGTTTTCCTCCACTAAGAGATAGCTAAGATCAGCGCCATATAGATATAATCTATCTATATGGCACTGGCTAAGATAAGATAACTTTAACAAGATGCCTGTGTGCTTAGTACCAGGTTGTTATCATACCAGCAATGGGTCTTGCTCGTTCTTTCGCTTCCCGTCTGATGAAAGGACCAGGAGTGTCTGGATCAAGCTAGCTAGTAGCTAGCACGTTAGTTAGCATTACAGCCTTGTCATTTTTATTAGCCTTAACATGAAGTAACATTAAGTAACCCAAAATGTTAAACAGTAAGAGTAGTAGTCATATTTCGTGAACCCTTTGAAGAGTACTGTCACCGGTGTGATCATTCTATAATACACCTTTAAGCCCGGATGCCCCCGAGGGAGAAATGCTAACGCTACATTAGCATCGGCGATCTTTTATTATTTCATGCTGTCTGCACAAATGGTTGACATTGAACATTAAAAAGACCAGGCAGTTCAGAGAGAATTGAAGGCAGGCAGGCAGGCAGCTTTGCATGACATTCATAGTGAGGGTAGTCAATCCCTTGTTTAGCAAGACAGTAGTGACGGCCATCTTGGTGACGTGTGTTGTGCGAGACCAGAGATGTAGTTCATTGAGCGGTTTCACACAAAAAAAGTCTCACTTCAAAGTTTTACGGCAAAACATTTTTTTTTTTACTTGCAAAATTATCTTTTAAATTGACAAACATCATATGTGCAATTCGTGGCACAATTCAAACGTGATCGAAAGATAATCTTTCTCTCGCCATTGACTTCAATACATACTTTTTCCTAAATAAGGTCCCATGGAGGTCCACCGGAAGGGGAGGGACTTCGCCACTCTATAGCCCAACATTAGCCACCTTTAGCTTAGCGGTGGTGACGTGAAGTCATGTGACCGTGCTGTAGTTCCTTTATAGCCCAACATTAGCCTCCTTTAGCTTAGCGGTGGTGACGTGAAGTCATGTGACTGTGCTGTAGTTCCTTTATAGCCCAACATTAGCCACCTTTAGCTTAGCGGTGGTGACGTGAAGTCATGTGACCGTGCTGCAGTTCCTTTATAGCCCAACATTAGCCACCTTTAGCTTAGCCGTGGTGACGTGAAGTCATGTGACCGTGCTGTAGTTCCTTTACAGCCCAACATTAGCCACCTTTAGCTTAGCGGTGGTGACGTGAAGTCATGTGACCGTGTAACCCAATTTTCTGCAATATTAAAAATAACGGAGAAATCCCATTGCTTTTTTTCAAAGACATCAGGGAGAATTTTAGGATTGGCCTACAAAAATACGTCATCCCTGCACCACTTCATTTCTGTATAAAGCCCTCGATTAAAACATCATTTTAACATTTGAGGCTCTTTTTCTGAATAAGCATGACTTGCATAACCCTACACAGAATAAGGAAGTCACCTTGATGCTTCCTACAGTCAGGTAGAGCTCTATGGAGGTGGAGTCCGCCTCGGATTCAAGCAACACGGCCTCAGTCCGAGTGGAAGCTGATGGAAAGGAACATTTTAAAAAGACAGGGAGGTAATTTGACATACGTCTCATCAAACAGCAATTAAGGACAGATCAAATGTCACTTTTAAAATGTAAAATGTACAGGAGAAGAACTGTTCTTCCCCTGATCTATTTGCAATGTTGCTCACCTTGCAGCAGGCTGTGCATGTAGAGAGTAGAAGAGCTGTCCCACTGAGTGGATGCACTGCAGAGAAAAGAACAAAGCATCAAGCTGAAAGTGGGTTTTATATCAAAGTATCAATATCTGTACACATCATAACAGAGATAAAAGCTGTTTTGAGGTTGAGGTGGTGCCCGGTTGGCTTTCAAATCAAATGTTATTCATATTGTCCAATATCCAAAATTACATATTCGTCTCAGCTATTAACGGTCAACAAGACAGACAGCGACAAACTCACCGCCTCTTCCACAGATAATATAACAAACACTGAACCATCACAAACTTTAATTAATGTGATTAATATTTCAATAAAATCCACTCTTTTGTGAGTCGCTTCATGGCTCCTACATATTCTAGGAACTGTGGATAACCAGAGGTGAGAAGTAGTGGAGTACAAATACTTAGTTACTGTACTTAAGTACATGTTTCTGGTATCAGTACTTTAATCCACTACTTATTTTTCTGACCACTTTCTACTTTCTACTTCTTACATGTTGAACCCAAATACCTGTACTTTCTACTTCTTACATGTTGAACCCAAATACCTGTACTTTCTACTTCTTACATGTTGAACACAAATACCTGTACTTTCTACTTCTTACATGTTGAACCCAAATACCTGTACTTTCTACTTCTTACATGTTGAACCCAAATACCTGTACTTTCTACTTCTTACATGTTGAACACAAATACCTGTACTTTCTACTTCTTACATGTTGAACTCAAATACCTGTACTTTCTACTTCTTACATGTTGAACCCAAATACCTGTACTTTCTACTTCTTACATGTTGAACCCAAATACCTGTACTTTCTACTTCTTACATGTTGAACCCAAATACCTGTACTTTCTACTTCTTACATGTTGAACCCAAATACCTGTACTTTCTACTTCTTACATGTTGAACTCAAATACCTGTACTTTCTACTTCTTACATGTTGAACCCAAATACCTGTACTTTCTACTTCTTACATGTTGAACCCAAATACCTGTACTTTCTACTTCTTACATGTTGAACACAAATACCTGTACTTTCTACTTCTTACATGTTGAACACAAATACCTGTACTTTCTACTTCTTACATGTTGAACACAAATACCTGTACTTTCTACTTCTCTCATTTCCCAAACAGGCTGGTTCCTTTAGTTTGAATGTGTGTTTGGTGGCGTGATCATTATTATTTAGAGTCATTGCGTGCCTATTGATTTGAACACGATCCGTGTATCCATCATTTCCTGGTCTTCTCTAAAGAAGAGGGACCAATGAAAACGTTGTCATGTTGCCGTTGTTCAGCATGGAAACATTCATTAGCTAACAATGACATTATTGTTCTATTAATATAAAGGGAGGTCAGGTACTCTTTAAAGCAGCTGCTAGTTATGGGTACTTTTTACTGAAGTACATTTCAAAGCCCTCTTTACTTTTACTTGAGTAAAGAAGTTTAGTCAGTACTTCTACTTTCACCAGAGTATTTTTAAACACGAGTATCTGTACTTCTACTTGAGGAAAGGATGCGTGTGGATAACCCATACAGTGTGTATCCTGCATTAAGTTTCTCTCACATGAGTCCCGCCTTCTTCTCGTGGACGGAAACTCGCAGGGTTGTTGGTTTGATTTTCGCCAGGTGAAACCTCCTCACCCAGAAAGGCAGCTGGAGGAAATTCTGCATCGCGATCCGGATCCTTGTCAGAACAAACAAACAAAACACAGAAGTTCAACAACAACTCAGACACACAAACCTTTTTTTTAGGTCTGTCATTTCTTCTACAACATCATTGTTTTATTGCCTCCAGGATTAAAATGTCAGGCCTTATTTGTTACCCTTTAAGGCTGCACAGTGAATCCAAATGTTAGCGAAATTTCCAGTGTAATCTCCAAATCTACGGAAATGTAGTATTTGTAAAAGGCTAAATATGTTTTAAATTGCAAATTTGAAGTATTGTGGAGCTGCAGTGATAACAAAGCCTAGAAATTGTATTTTACAGACTTCACAAACCATATTCGATTGATATAGATCAGACCTGGGCATCGTACGGCCCCCGGGCCACATACGGCCCTTTGGTTGACTCTGACCGGCCCGTGTAAGGCTAATTGGAAATTACAAAATAAACATATTTTCTAACTTTACCTCATGCATGGACTAAAGCTGCATTGCTTTTATTTTGAAGTTGTTTTTTATTCACGTGCATAATGACGCAATACGTATATCAAGACGTGCACATTATTGGATCCTTGTCACAAGACGACTTTAGCCCTCAAAAAAATGTCCGCTAAAAAAAGAAAGGTAGATGCTGAATGCAGGGTTTTCAACAAAAATTGGACTGCTAAGTATTTATTTACTGAAGTCGGAGGTAAAACCGTGTGTTTAGTTTGCGGGGAGCAGATCGCCGTGTTTAAGGAGTACAATGTGAGTCGACATTACGAGACGAAACACGCGGAGAAATATAAAAACTTGACTGACGCTGAAAGGGCGCGGACATCGGAAGCTTTGCTAGCTAAGCTGCAAAAGCAGCAAGGCTTTTTTACCAAGCTTCACACATCCAGTGATGCAGCAACCATGACCAGCTTTGTGATATCCCACAAAATTGCTAAAAACAGTAAGCCGTTCTCGGAGGGGGAGTTTGTCAAAGAGTGCTTGGTGGACTCTGCAGCACTAATATGCCCTGAAAAAAAAGCCGCATTTGAGCAAGTCCCGCTGTCCAGGCGAACCGTGACTAGAAGGATCGAGGACATTGCGGGGAATCTGGAGCTTCAGCTGCAACGTGAAGTGGCAAGTTACGACTTTTTCTCCTTGGCTTTGGACGAGAGCTGTGATGTCCGCGACACAGCCCAGTTACTCGTATTCGTCCGCGGGATAACACCGGACTTCAAGATTACGGAGGAGCTGGCAGCAATGCGGTCGATGAAAGGGACGACGACAGGGAGCGATCTGTTCACGGAGGTAAACGAGTGCATGGACACGCATACATATGTGAACAAACATTTTCAATTATGAAGTTTACGAAATCCAGGTATAGATCCTCTCTCACTGATGATCATCTGTCAGCTGTGCTTCGCATCTCCACCTCAGACATTCAACCTGACTTTGATGCACTCGTTAAAGCCCAGCAGAGACTAGATGTCTCTCACTGAACAAGAAAAGAGAACTTAAAAACACCAAATGAGGTGGTTAGACTACAAATGTTGGCATGTAAAGGCACCAACTAGCAGTGAACTGGGACACTTTCTTTGGAAGCCTTTTTCTCAAAATCACAGTTCAGTGATGTTTAGTGACAGTTCAATATGATGTATCTTGCTTAATATTTGGAGTACAAAGACAATATTGTGATGTCTTTAGAATGCTAAGAACCTCTTTCCAACAGTAAATGAAACTCAAAATGTGTTTGAGTGAATGTGACTGAAAATGTTCACTAATATGAGTCACAAATGGTGAAAAACGTTCATTTTGTTTACCATTGTTTTGGGAAATTTGATTTAATAAATGACATTTTTTTGTAAGGCAACCTCACTTTTTCATTGCTTAACTATAACATATACTCTTACCAGCTTGTCAAAACAATGCTATTTACTGCTTTTTATAAAGAAATACAATTAATATTATGCAGAATTGAGTTCAGCCTTTTGGCCCGGCCCTCCTCAATATTTTCAGTTTCTCATGTGGCCCCATGGAAAAAATAATTGCCCACCCCTGATATAGATCCTGTTAAAAACTAAAACAAAATGAGAATCATAATGGAATCAGTCCTTACAATATCATGAATCATTTCCCAATTGAAACATAAGTCAAACAAATCCCAGTTACTTATTTTTCCCAAATCGTGCAGCACTAATACTCTAAGAAAAAGGCTTTGATAAATACACCAAAAAGCTGTAATTGAATCAAACGTCTTCTCATAAAAATCCTCTTGTATGTGGACTGATAAACCGGGAGTTGTTCACATAACGTTCTGGTCTTACTGGTCTGAGGGGACGACGAGTCTCTCTCCGTGGTCCACCAGGAGGCATCGAGCCTGACAGGAAACTGAGTCCGTGATGATGGACTCAACCAGCACCCGACACCACGACTTAATCACCGCCCAGTACACCACACACACCTGGGAGGAAACACAGTGTTGGGAAAATAGTGAATGTTCTCTTCCAACATCAGAGTAACATGATAACAAAGGTATCCCAACTGTAGCTGTGTGCATGACAGGATGTCTGATTACCTAGAAGAGCATCAGGACTGTTTGAGGCATATGATAGCTATGTGATTAACATGATGATTCAGCCTCTATGGAGATAGACATATGACAAGCATGATCATTTCTGACGTGGAGCTAATCTGAAGTAAACATTGAATACTGCTTTCTATTCCTCCATCTTGTGACTGTGTAACTCCCTCTCTTGGATATCAGCATGTGAAGGACACTGTTCAGGAACTAGTTGATGCTCTGTATGTGATGACTACTTCCATTCTGGAGAGGATCAGGAATACATGGATCCTGAGATTGAAGCTCAAGCTGGTGACCAGGGATTATTGACATTTTTAAGTCATTCATTTTTGAGATGTTGAGAAAAAGTCAGAATTTTGAGAAACAGTCCGATTTTTTAGACAAAGTCAGAATGTGGAGATTTTGAGAAAAAGTCCGATTTTTTGAAAAAGTCAGAATTTTGAGAAAAAAATCTGAATTTTGTGATTTTTTTTGAAAAAGTCCGATTTTTGGGGGATTTTGAGAAAAAGTCAAAATGTTGAGAAAAAGTCCGATTTTTTTTAGAAAAGTCAGATTCTTTAAAAAAAAATCTGATTTTTGAGAAAAAGTCAGGATTTTGAGATTTTGTGGAAAAAGTCAGAATGTTGAGAATTTTGTACATGACAGGATGTACTGCTTTCTATTCCTCCATCTTGTGACTGTGTAACTCCCTCTCTTGGATATCAGCATGTGAAGGACACTGTTCAGGAACTAGGTGATGCTCTGTATGTGAGGACTACTTCCATTCTGGAGAGGATCAGAGATACATGGATCCTGAGATTGAAGCTCAAGCCGGGGACGAGTGATATTTTTCTAACACACAGCAACACAAACACCTAGTCCACCTGCAGCCCAATAAAGAGGCACAGTAAAGGGTGCTCGTTCCTGAGGTCTCCCATCATGCAAAATGCACTTTTTGATGTCTTTTATACATAAATATGTGTCCCCGGCGTGTCAGGAGACTCACAAAGTGTCCGAAAACAAAACCCTCTGTCTTTTCCTCCGTACCCACATCTCTAAAAAGTACAGTACCAGTACAGGTTAGCTCTGAGTGTTAGCGATGCTAATGTAAACACAGACCATATTATGTGCAAAACACGTTGCGCATTGTTTCTGATAGCAACGTTTCTGATTGGGCCGTGGGTCCACATTTCAGATATTACTTCATCTCGCAGCAAATCTGGATCAGCTCCGCTGTTCCCCCGTTTTTAGAGGAAAGAGATAGAGGGTTTTGTTTTCTGACACTTTGAGAGTCTCCTGACACACCGGGGACACATATTTATGTATAAAAGACATCAAAAAGTGCATTTAGCATGATAGTAGACCTTTAGAGTAAATTCAGAGGTTCATTTTTATGCAACTCGCTAATTATCGGATCTACAATACATTCTCCATCCGATTTAAGGGGGCAAAATGATGTAATGTCTGAAGGTGTGTTACCTGCCCCTCCTCTAACGATGTGGGCTTTAGCTTGCGAGGGTCCAGGGTCACGTCGTGGTAGAACAGGTTCATCTGAGCAGCAGACAGAGATGGAAAAGTACACACATCCTTTACTCAAGTAGAAGTACAGATACTCGTGTTTAAAAATACTCTGGTGAAAGTAGAAGTACTGACTAAACTTCTTTACTCAAGTAAAAGTAAAGAGGGCTTTGAAATGTACTTCAGTAAAAAGTACCCATAACTAGCAGCTGTTTTAAAGAGTACCTGACCTCCCTTTATATTAATAGAACAATAATGTCATTGTTAGCTAATGAATGTTTCCATGCTGAACAACGGCAACATGACAACGTTTTCATTGGTCCCTCTTCTTTAGAGAAGACCAGGAAATGATGGATACACGGATCGTGTTCAAATCAATAGGCACGCAATGACTCTAAATAATAATGATCACGCCACCATACACACATTCAAACTAAAGGAACCAGCCTGTTTGGGAAATGTGAGAAGTAGAAAGTACAGGTATTTGGGTTCAACATGTAAGAAGTAGAAAGTACAGGTATTTGTGTTCAACATGTAAGAAGTAGAAAGTACAGGTATTTGAGTTCAACATGTAAGAAGTAGAAAGTACAGGTATTTGTGTTCAACATGTAAGAAGTAGAAAGTACAGGTATTTGAGTTCAACATGTAAGAAGTAGAAAGTACAGGTATTTGTGTTCAACATGTGAGAAGTAGAAAGTACAGGTATTTGTGTTCAACATGTAAGAAGTAGAAAGTACAGGTATTTGTGTTCAACATGTGAGAAGTAGAAAGTACAGGTATTTGTGTTCAACATGTAAGAAGTAGAAAGTACAGGTATTTGTGTTCAACATGTGAGAAGTAGAAAGTACAGGTATTTGGGTTCAACATGTAAGAAGTAGAAAGTACAGGTATTTGTGTTCAAAAGGTAAGAAGTAGAAAGTTCAGGTATTTGTGTTCAAAAGGTAAGAAGTAGAAAGTTCAGGTATTTGTGTTCAACATGTAAGAAGTAGAAAGTACAGATATTTGTGTTCAAAAGGTAAGAAGTAGAAAGTACAGGTATTTGGGTTCAAAAGGTAAGAAGTAGAAAGTACAGGTATTTGTGTTCAACATGTAAGAAGTAGAAAGTACAGATATTTGTGTTCAAAAGGTAAGAAGTAGAAAGTTCAGGTATTTGTGTTCAACATGTAAGAAGTAGAAAGTACAGATATTTGTGTTCAAAAGGTAAGAAGTAGAAAGTACAGGTATTTGGGTTCAAAAGGTAAGAAGTAGAAAGTTCAGGTATTTGTGTTCAACATGTAAGAAGTAGAAAGTACAGGTATTTGGGTTCAACATGTGAGAAGTAGAAAGTTCAGGTATTTGTGTTCAACATGTAAGAAGTAGAAAGTACAGGTATTTGGGTTCAACATGTGAGAAGTAGAAAGTACAGGTATTTGTGTTCAAAATGTAAGAAGTAGAAAGTTCAGGTATTTGTGTTCAAAATGTAAGAAGTAGAAAGTACAGGTATTTGTGTTCAAAATGTAAGAAGTAGAAAGTACAGGTATTTGTGTTCAAAATGTAAGAAGTAGAAAGTTCAGGTATTTGTGTTCAAAATGTAAGAAGTAGAAAGTACAGGTATTTGTGTTCAAAATGTAAGAAGTAGAAAGTTCAGGTATTTGTGTTCAACATGTAAGAAGTAGAAAGTACAGGTATTTGGGTTCAACATGTGAGAAGTAGAAAGTACAGGTATTTGTGTTCAAAATGTAAGAAGTAGAAAGTTCAGGTATTTGTGTTCAAAATGTAAGAAGTAGAAAGTACAGGTATTTGTGTTCAAAATGTAAGAAGTAGAAAGTACAGGTATTTGTGTTCAAAATGTAAGAAGTAGAAAGTTCAGGTATTTGTGTTCAAAATGTAAGAAGTAGAAAGTACAGGTATTTGTGTTCAAAATGTAAGAAGTAGAAAGTTCAGGTATTTGTGTTCAACATGTAAGAAGTAGAAAGTACAGGTATTTGGGTTCAACATGTAAGAAGTAGAAAGTACAGGTATTTGTGTTCAACATGTAAGAAGTAGAAAGTACAGGTATTTGTGTTCAACATGTAAGAAGTAGAAAGTACAGGTATTTGTGTTCAACATGTAAGAAGTAGAAAGTACAGGTATTTGTGTTCAACATGTAAGAAGTAGAAAGTACAGGTATTTGGGTTCAACATGTAAGAAGTAGAAAGTACAGGTATTTGTGTTCAACATGTAAGAAGTAGAAAGTACAGGTATTTGGGTTCAACATGTAAGAAGTAGAAAGTACAGGTATTTGTGTTCAACATGTAAGAAGTAGAAAGTACAGGTATTTGTGTTCAACATGTAAGAAGTAGAAAGTACAGGTATTTGGGTTCAACATGTAAGAAGTCAAAGTAAAAAGTCGTCAGAAAATAAGTAGTGGAGTAAAGTACTGATACCAGAAAAATGTACTTAAGTACAGTAACAAAGTATTTGTACTCTACTCCTTCCCACCTCTGCCAGCAGACCGTCGTATTGATCCGCTTCTCTGCCCCGACCCACTCGGCCCCAAAGGCACGACGGGCTTTCAACCTGCAGGGGCCACAAAGAAATGATTCAAAATGAGCCACCACAAAAGGGTCAGTCTTTACAGAATATACGATCTCCGTTCACATGATTTCCAGTACGATAATTCTTTATATCTTAAGCAAAATTAAGGAAAACTTAAAAAGCCTTCAGAGACAATTGGACGCCGTTATAAAAGCATATTAAGGTCCTCAGTCTTAGAAGGAAAAGGCAAACTACAGGGGTAGAATCAGACTCTTTATTTAGGTCACATTAGAAATACTGGATAGGAAATGATACACTATTAAACTATTTTATCCGTTTTATGTCATATATATATTCATGTTGCTCTGTTGGAGGAGCCTGTGACTTTAGTTTTTCATTGCCATATCTACACTTTAGCTACTGATGATGATAAAGCCTTGAATTGAAAAGAAACAGCAACTTATACGTTAAAATATATCGAGCTTAATTGGACTTAAAATGGAGCTACGTGGTGGAAATAAATATGTTAAAACTCCCTCAAACCCACATATTCATCCATTATTCACCACAAAGTGCTATCGTTTTTTAAGCTGCACAGGAACCGGCAGCATTCATATGCAGGGTTTCCCACACAGACTATACTTGGGCAGGCCGCCCAGGTATATTAACGGCCGCCCAGGTATATTTCGCGACCCATTAAGGTTTGTTTTTTTAGTTTTTATAATAATTTTTTTTTTTTTTCGTCCGCGACCACGACATCAACTGCGATCGATTAACTTGTGGATAATGATCCCTCGCTCTACGCCTCCTGTACCCAGTCCCGGACTGGCCATCGGGAGGACCGGGGGGTTTCCCGATGGCCTGGCCTGTTCAGTGGCCTGCCTCATACAGGGTGACTGGCTGTCTACATGATGTGGCCTGCCTCATACAGGGTGACTGGCTGTCTACATGATGTGGCCTGCCTCACACAGGGTGACTGGCTGTCTACATGATGTGGCCTGCCTCACACAGGGTGACTGGCTGTCTACATGATGTGGTCTGCCTCACACAGGGTGACTGGCTGTCTACATGATGTGGCCTGCCTCACACAGGGTGACTGGCTGTCTACATGATGTGGCCTGCCTCACACAGGGGGACTGGCTGTCTACATGATGTGGCCTGCCTCACACAGGGTGACTGGCTGTCTACATGATGTGGCCTGCCTCACACAGGGTGACTGGCTGTCTACATGATGTGGTCTGCCTCACACAGGGTGACTGGCTGTCTACATGATGTGGCCTGCCTCACACAGGGTGACTGGCTGTCTACATGATGTGGTCTGCCTCACACAGGGTGACTGGCTGTCTACATGATGTGGCCTGCCTCACACAGGGTGACTGGCTGTCTACATGATGTGGTCTGCCTCACACAGGGTGACTGGCTGTCTACATGATGTGGCCTGCCTCACACAGGGTGACTGGCTGTCTACATGATGTGGCCTGCCTCACACAGGGTGACTGGCTGTCTGCATGATGTGGTCTGCCTCACACAGGGTGACTGGCTGTCTACATGATGTGGCCTGCCGACATGGCCACTGTCATACAGATCATAAATCAAAGCCCTTGATTGGTCTCTCTGTGTCATTCAAGCTCGGGATAACCTCAGCTCAGGTGAGGTAAAGGATTCTCTGAGTGTTTAGATAGTTAACTTAGTCTAAGTTCTCAGTGGGTCTCAAACGGTTTGGTCACCATTTATGTAAACACATATATCCATTTGAGGGGTACCGTACTGAGAGTAAAATATGCATGAATAAAAAATAAACTAGGGGAAAAAAGGTAAGATACACTTTATGATTATTGAAATGTATACAGTTGTTTCATATAGGTGTTCCCATAGATCTAGTCTCTTTATTTTCCCCTCAAAGTGCACCAGATTGATGCATTTAACTCCAAAATAAAATAGAAAATCTTACCGGGGGAGCATGCCCCCGGACCCCCCTAGAGGATTTGAGGTCCACCCCCACTTAAAATCACATGGATAGGTTCCTAAATACATTTACCATTTTTTTTTAAATAGTAACCCATGTCCATATGTTTATTTGTGGGTAGTAGATTTAAACTATAGGGCTATCACTATGGGCCCTGCCTGTACCTGTTCACTCTGCCATCGCGTGAAGGGTCTGCTAACAAGCGACCAACAGAAAGGTTAATATTAATGTTGTTGCACGTCACAAAGGCACGTCACCTCAACCCCCCCACCCCCGCCCGCTACCAGCACCCCCACAAGTATATTTCAGATCTGTGGGAAACACTGATATGAATTACTTTTAATTTCCGTGCTTACTCGTTAGTGAAACAGTCCCTTGTGCACCGCTTTGAGGAGCCACATAAATTACACTTGACTAGAAAAAGGACCAAAAGAGGAAGGAATTTTTCTGTAAATTACTCAAAAAAATGAATGGATTGAATTCAATTTTTAGGAAGCTTAATTACATTTACATGAAAATGTTCCTGTTTTTGTTTTATTGAGTTTGAGCTTTATTACATTCTTTAAAGAAATGACCAGTGGTGGAGGAAGAAGTCCTTATTTAAGTAGCATTAGAAATACAGTGTACTTGACCTTGGTTAATTTCTACTGGAAACAATAATAAACTATAGGAAATGATACAAGAAAAAACCAACCGTAGAGTATATATAACTATCTTCATTTCATTTTAAAATGGACAAACAGGGTGGGGAAAAACACGGCTAATTTATCCATTATTTCTGGATTATTAGGCCACTGACTGACTGTTATATAAATGAACGTTAATGTTCCTGCTTACTTGTTCGTTAAACAGTCCCTTACCTTTACAATTGAAATTTCCAGCATGGTAGACACTGAAAGAAAGCACAACAAGTTAGCAAACTGGTTGATTATGCAGTAATAGTCTGTTTGTCCTGTTCGGAAAAGTTGAGTACCCTCAATTTTTATGATAGAAATGTGTATTACGGGTCCCCAGCACATAGAAACTGCCGGATGCTAACTTGCATATGTTGGGCAATTTGCACCATTATCATAAGTTAATTAATTAGCATTAACTACCATTATAGCCTAAGAGGGCAATAGTTTATAAATGGCTTCACGGAATTGGACACTTTTTGAGTGGTTTTGGGGGTAATAGAGTCAATTTCTGACATTTTCAGGATAAAAAATATGCAGTGTTCATTTAGTGGTCATATTTTTAGTCTTGGTGGGCTGATTTTAGTTTAATTTTGGGTCGATTTGGCAGATTTAGGGGACTCTGGATCATTTGGATTGCCTATTTGTTAATTTGTTATGCTGCTTCAACGCAAAAACTTCCCAATTTGGGATCAATAAAGTACAACTTATCTTATCCTTATTTGAAAATGTGTCCACAGTAGCGGTAATACTTTTAATCTTGTTCTCTCTATTTCCAATGGTTGCAACACTACTCATGGTAGTCAAAATCAGCCCACAGAGAATATTGCCACTTTCTGGTTGAAACTGACCTTTTGAGTCCTGAAAATGGATTCAGCATTCTCAATAATCCCCAAAACCACTCCTAAAATGTCCAATACGGCCAAGTTATTATTAATTTTTTTACTATTTTGGGCTATATGCTAATTCATGCAACTTATGCTAATTGTGCTAATTGCCCAACATGCCGGTTAGCATCCGGCAGTTTCTATGTGCTGGGGACCCTACTACACATTTCTATCATTAAACTTTTGGGGTACTCGACATTTCCGGGTTCACTTAGCTGGCGACGTGTTTACTAAAAGTCAAAATAAGAATGAATAGCTAAGGTCGATATTTAGCATCCAAGAGCGAGAAGCACATGTCGGCTAACACGTGCTAGCTTGAGCTAACCGTGAGCTAACCTTGAGCTAGCATTAGTTCACCGATAACTAAAACCATTTTTTAAAAAGTGCTCCCAATTGAAGGCAAATTCGACAGGTGTTAATTTAAACAGGTTTTGTTTTACATGTTTCACGTTCGTTTGAGTTCTATCTTATTTAAACGGTAAAACGTACCTGTTTCCGAGCTTCTGCAGGTGTGGTGTGGTTGTATCATGAGGGTCACTTCCTTCTGATTGTGACCGAGAGATGTCGCTGTGGAGCGGCCAGTTTCCTCCGAGGTGAGAGGGTGGTTATTTATTTTTTCTTAGAACATTTATAAAAAACATATATTTTGTATACAATAAAAATCACATCAGGGGTAGACATTATAATCTACCTGTGTAAACATTATTCTTCCCAAAACATTTCATATTACAATTTGACGGTTTTGTAACCTCTGAATAAACAAATGTATTTAAGCAGATTAGAAACCTTATTCTTATTATTTGCCTGGGCTATTTGTTAATAACCCAGCATGAATTTATTTTTCTAGCGGTAGTCTATAGAATAGGTGAATATTAAAAAGTCAATATTTATTTATTTATTCGAAATTCAAATGTACAATGTTTTACACGTAAACTCACAAACTCAACATTATGAATTTAAATAAAAAATGGTCCGATTTCTCAATAAAGTTGACTTCTGAGGAAAAAAGTCAGAATCGTCCAAAAAAAGGAACAATTCAACAACAACAAAATCTGAATGCTGGAAAAAAGTAAGAATTATCCCCCAAAAAATCACAAGTTTTCACAAAAAGTCTCAAAGAAAATAGATACAATTCTCAAAAAAAAGTCAGGATGCTGAAGAACATCTGAATTTCCCCAAAAATCCGAAAAGTAAGAATTTAGAAAATAATCAGAAAATTCAGAATAAAAATAATATTTATCAGACAAGTCAGAATAAAATAAATAAATCAGAAAGGTCAGAATCTTTGAAAAAGAAATGTGAATAGTCACAATTATCAAAAAGATATCTGAGTTGTCCTGCAGGGGGCGATGACGAGGCGTCTGCTCCACCACTGAACTGCAGACGAAGAAGACATTTGGATGTTTTGGAGGCAACAAAGCAGACAGCTAACAGTCAGCTAACTCGTCTCCATGGATACAGTTTCAATACTCTCTCTCTATATATATTATATTGTATTAACAGTTGTGATTTAATGGAGACCAAAGCGCCTTCTCTGCTGAATGCGGTTCCTCCTTACGGACATGTTATAACCAGCGAGAAATGGAGGAATTCGTCCCTTATTCAAAGCTTAAAGGGTAAATACATGAGTTTATTTACCGTTCATTAAAACAGCCCAATTCCAACCGTGTTATCACGCTAACGTCTGGGTCGTTACATACGTGTGCCAAACCCCATTAAAAAAATCGCTGTTTTAGTGTTTATTTCAATAAAATGCAGACAAAAACAAGGTGTAGAAAATGATAATTCACATTCTGTCTGTCAAATACTTCCACTCATCAATTCGGCTCACATGTCCTCCATTTAAAACGTCCCAAAAAATGTAACCATAACAATACATCTAAATGTAAATGTTACATGGGAATAAAGCGATGCTTGTTATTGGTGTTAATGGCGGATTCAATTATGTTCAATAAGTCTAGTTAAAAGAAACTATGTTATAATTTATTGGTGATTAGAGTCATTTTTAATATGTTTGGCCTCCTTAAAATAATTTCGTTTAATTAGATTTTTGTCATTATGCAAATTAAAGATTTAATTATTTGTTTTAATATATGTATTGGGAGGGATGAAACCCTCTTTAATGGTCTCACATGCAGAGCACACACAGTGACATTTGTTCTCTGCTTTTAACCCACCCTAGTACCAGGAGTCTAGTACTAGGAGCAGTGGGCAGCTATTGTACAGCGTCCAGGGAGCAATGGGAGTGGGGGGGGGGTTGTCTGGTGCCTTGCTCAAGGGCACCACAGCAGGGCAGGAGGTGAACTGGGACCTCTCCAAGTAGCACTCCATACTCTAAGTCTGTTCGGGGACTTGAACCGGCGACCCTACAGCTCCCAGTCCAATCCCATACTGACTGAACCACTGCCGAAATGCTTTAACTTTACCTGCTACTTGGCGGTGGTGGAAGAAGTACTCAGATATGTTACTTAAGTAAAAGTTGAAATAGTCAAGTATAAGTCCTTCAATTAAATTTGCTCTCAAGTACAGGGGTACTAAAATATACTTTAAGTACTAAAAGTACCCATTATGTATGGCTCATCTTTGTATTAAAGGATTGTGCTTTACTGTATCTATTGATGCATCATGTGTTCATCACTTTAATGTTGCATCTGGTAAAGATAGGGTTTATTTTTATTATTGTATTTACTGCTGGGTAACCTATAACAATACACCATCATTATTTAGTGGAATTAAAATTGTATTTATAACCTACATCTGAAAAGAAGCTGTTAAATACATATATGTATACAGTATAAAAATAGTGGAGTTTAAAGTACAACATTTGACCAAAAAATGTAGTGAAGTAAAAGTATAAAAGCAGCTGGAAAATACTCAGTTGAAGTACAAGTACCTTACATTTCTACTGAAAAGCAGTACTTGATTAAATGTATTTTGTTACATTCCACCACTACCACTAACTAAAAGGTCATTCCATATTTGATGGACAGAAAACTGCATTTTCTACCATTTTGTATGAAAAATCACTCCTAACGGTTAAGTTTGAGATAATTGTTCTGTCGCTGCAGCTCTAATATACAAGCTCTTCTTCTGCTGTAGGTGGAGGAGTGAAAATCCTGTTTGAGAATGAGCTCGGTGTCGCAGATTTCCACCTGCCCAACAAAAGCTGCATCCTGTACGTGTCCGAGTGCGACATCATAGCAGGAAACAGCTACAAGAGGAAAACTGGTCCGCTACAGAAATGTGAGTTTAACGAGGACACAAACGCAGTGTTTCTCTGTGTTGTTCTGCCTGATATGATGATGATGATGATGATGATGATGATGATGATGATGATGATAGAAATAAATCAATATATTGTGCCGGAACTTTAAGGGCTGACTCTTGATCTTCAAACAAAAGAACACCACAGTGATATGTGTCCCTCCTGTTCTATAGACCAGCAGCAGTTTCCAGGAGCTGGTGCTGGTGGAGAAGACGCGGCTCAGTGAGCAGAACTTCTCCGCCGTGCAGAAGTTTGTTGTGTTGGACCTGGGTTTGACTCTGCTGCCGGTCAGCGGGCAGA